GCAGGAATATCGAAAACTTTTCATGTAATTAACTTTTATTTATGCATAAATTGTGCAGTGCGTTTTTTCTAACACTGGCCATAGAGATTCCCATCTCAAGGTGTCTACCCCATACTAACTTATATTTTGGTGACTCGATTTTTGCCTTGATGGTTGAACACTGTCATTGTTGTCCTTTTTTGTTGTATCGAGATGCTACTTGAGCATCAACTGTTACTGAAGTATTAGTATCATCTAGAGAAACTAGAAACATTTTGATTTGATATTCGAGTAGATACTTCGTATTTCGAGTATGAGCATCTACTGAGTTTTATTTATATCAACCATTGTCAAAAATTTGATCGAACGTTGTTTCGACAGAACTTCCTTCGCACCAAAAGTATAATGAAACATATTCAGCATTTTCGAGTTGAGTCTTTTCTTCACACAATTTTGTGATGACCTAATCAACATTTACTATCAACACGTAGGTATACCACCTTGGATTGGTGCAGTGTAATACTAAAAATAACTGTATTGTATTCCCAAAATTAACTGCGAAAATCGAGTGAGCCATTCCATCAATTTTTTGGAGGGAATAAATAAATATTCTTAACAATTTACCATGCCTACAAAAACTTTAAAACGTCTGCAAGATCTCAAAGTATTCATTTTTGCAACTCTTGAGTTATTCACTAAAATAAATTGACTGATCCATATATTTTTTTGAGTCACTGTAAAAGCAAATCTAAAAAATATGAATGCAGTGATAAATTACGAAAATATACTGATGATATTTTCCACATTTTAGATAGGATTTATTCGGCAAAATCTTGAGATGATGTCTTCAAGTTTTTGGGCTTGATAAACAGATATATTTTGATTGAAAACCTACAATGTCAAACAGTAACTTCAAAACGTCTGCAATATTTCAAAATTCAGTTTTGCAATTCTTGATTCAATCAATAAAATAAATTGACTCAGTGATTAATTTTTTTGAGACACCCCCTATAAGCAAAACTAAAAAATATGAATGGAATGATAAATCACAAATATAGTCTCATCCTATTTTGGACATTTTAGATAGGATTCATTTGGGAAAAGTTTGGGCTGACGCCATCAATTTTTTGGAGGGGATAAGTAAATATATTTTGAATAAAAATTTATTATGCTTATCATATGTTTAAAACATCTGCAAGATTTCAAAGCATTCGATTTTGCAGATTCAAAATTAAATTGTAGGTGAAACGGAGTTCACGGGGTCAGCTAGTTACCTATAATTTGCTTGGTGCAACCATAATTATGGTGATATTATCGATGTTATTTTATTTTCTTATTATAAAAGACAACAAAAACTGGATGTTGTCATATTAGATTTTCACTACGTACGCAAACACAGAAATAATAAAAATTCGATAAAAATATGGAAAGTTCTTTTCTTTTTTCGTATAGAGGTATTTAATTCATTTGATGGATGATCGTACGTAGATGTAGATCAGACAATAGAGATTCTCCAAAAATGCAGTTAAAAACATTATTATAACATTAACAGATACATTTCTTCGCTGGCCAGAAGTAAGAGAGCCTATGTTTTGCCCCGTTTTTTAACCTTTTTTTTAAAAGAACCATATTTTGCTTTCTTCTTTGTTAATGGGTAATTTAATTCTAGAATTGAAAACTTTTTACTTGCCGAGCGTAAGCTAATACATTCTATAAATGTAGTATCTCCATTATTAATAGACTTATTATTAGAAATTTTAAATATAACATGTCCACAATTTTCTCCCTACAGGATTATTCACGAGAAGTTCCACACCTGAAAAATTCAAAACGCAACCAATAGTATAATTTCATAGCGGAAATAAACGTCAATTATTAGGTTAAAATAAAAAAAAAAATTAAACAAGAACTCTCTACATAACTGTGAACCACTCACCGTATATCAAAATTTTATATTAGTCTTTTCGTCGTTTGAACACACTCTGCATTAATTCTAACAAAACGTCTGACACTGTGTTCATGTTACAGGAAAATTACTGTTTTTTTTTTTTAATGGTTTGATATATCAAAGATGGTTTTGAAATTGTGTTTCTGGTCGCGTCTTAATTTTTTTAGGCGCGTAGCTTCTCGTGAATACATTCCTGTATAATACAAGGGCAGTTTGTTGAACAGTTTATCATCATCATTCTTTTTAAAATGATGGTAAAATTTTTCATCACGCATTTTTAAAAATCAGTATCTCAATTATTAATGGAAATTTCGGAACGCGGTTTACATCACTGTTTATTACATGAATTATTATATTTATCTATTTCCAACATGTTTCCTGCATTTGAAGATCCGAAAATTATCCGTTCATGCAAGCCACAACATACTGCCTTCGTTTGCTGAAGACAGTTTGATTGTACTAAATTGCCGTCAATTATTACCTCTTTCAACGCGTACATTATTGCGCAATTTTGAAAAAGACTTCAATAATAATAAAACGACGAAAAGATGGATGTAGGTCTGAAAAACAAACACATTGAAAAAGGCTTAAAAATATTAGGTCATCGCAAAATGTTGTTTTGGAAAATCTCACTTGAAACATACGCATAACATGTTTCTTTACCTGTACTACACTACATACATTATATCATAAAGACATAAAATTCGCAAAATGAATTTTTATAATTTTTCGAAAAAGCTGTATTTGTTCGACTATACTTCAGGCGCGAGAGAAGTTCTGTCAAAGTAGGTAACCTTAGACCAATTTTTTAAAATTAATTTTGTCTATTTAATCCACCTATTTAATAGATAATAATATTCGTGTTTTTTTAATAGATACATAGTGTAATATATTTTTATAATACTCCTGGTTATTTATGTATCACGATTGAAGTACTCAATTTAAGCCTTACCAAGAGCGCCAAGCTTAGAGACACAAGTGCTTCTGGGCCGAGGGTTAATAAAGTCGTCCGAGGGAATAAACTTCCATGATGCATACAAAATTTTATGCCTTACCGTGTAGTTTTTGATATTTACAAAAAGTCATCTTTGCATATTCTTTTAGTGGTTGCAAAGCTTTAACGAAATTATTTTGATTGCTGATAATTTTATAAACCTAATAATAGACACCCAAAAACACAAAAACTAAAATATAAAAAGTATAGTAATCGAGTACATCGGGCGACTGGATACTTTCATTTTTTCTCGACGTTTCATGACCCCCTAGAGTAGGTCTCCCGTTTCCGTTTGTTTGTCTGTCTGTTTGTCGTCTGTGCCATTTTTTATTAGACAGATAATTTTTAAAATTATCGGACCGATTTTTGTCAAATTTGACATGTATGTTAGGAAAATCGTGTAAATGGTAAAATGCTAACCAAAATTTGTCTAATCATTCCCGCCAACAAATTAAGACATTATTTTACAATTTTGCCGAAAAATGTTCTTTAAATTTTATAGAATAACATACTCCTGCATGTGTGATTTATGAATCCGTGTTGAGTTTTTACCCTAAACATCCAGATTTTTGAGGAAAAATCAAAATTGTACAACAATATTTTACAATTTAACTTTGAAACTGCAAGGTTGCCATAAGCATGGTAAATCGTTAATCAATAATTTTTTCGTATTAATTTAAATTGTACGTATACGTCAATTTATTAATCAATTTGGCTGTGATTTTAACAACTGTCTCTTTTGACTTACTTTTCTTGTTTCCTTGCTTGTTGTCGCTTTCTGGAGAAGTAATCTTTACATTAAAAATAATTATTTTAATAACTTTATTTGCATATTCATTCAAAAATTGCATTTCCATTGGAGTAGAAAGCGTTTAATCGAGTCGTATTTTCGAAATGGACAGAAGGTAAACGGTATGTGGGAGTATTCGATTCAAGCGGCTTGGAATAAATTCCGGGAAGAATTTCCCAGTAACATTGTCGACTATCACCATTTTTGCGACAACGATATGTGAACTCCAGAAAATATTGGAAATGTTAGGCAGATAATAAAGCAAACCCTTACATCATCCACACAACATTTAGTGCAGTAAGTGGACTTATCTTATGGAATTTACCATGCAATACTGCGAAAAGATTTGACACTGTTTCTTTCTCGAGTAATATGTATGAGCCTATTTTCCAGCTAGAGCTGAGTATTGTCAGTGGTTTTTAGAGACATTTAATGACCGTTTGTTGGAGAAAACGGTTTTACAGACGAAGCGTGTGTGGCTTCATTAATTAAAATATGAGTACCAAAAATCCACAAATTTATATTGAGAGTCCCCTTCATCCTGAAAAAAAAACGTGTTTGAGCTGCAATTAATCAACGACGGATAGTTGGGCCTTTATTCTTTGAATATAATCATGGCAATAATAATCATGTAAATCATGTAATTAACTAGCGTGTTCAATGTAATCCTCTTCAAGTAGGTTATTATTTTCAACAAGATGGGGCTACAGCAATGTTGCGAGAATTTTTTGACCACCAGATCATTGATCGAAATACAGAGAATATCTGGCTCCCGAGACATTGCCATTTTACTCCTGCAGACCTTTTTGCGATTCTCTTTAAAGAAAACGTTGTCAACATTTTAGAGGAATTAATATTAAGAATAACAAAATAAATAACGACATAGACGTTGGGACATGTGGTATATGGAATTAGACAAAGAGCCCATTTATGCTTACAACAAAACATTTTCAGCACCTATAGTAATTTTATTTATTTTTTTTTTTTTATAAAATTAATCTTGTACCTTATATAATTTCATCCTTATTTTATTAAAAATCTTATCCACCATCTTTTCTTTGACATTTGTAACTTTTTGACATTTAGTGTGGTTTAATCATCGACATGCCAAATCCTTTCCGAGAAAAAATTATATTAAGTTGATCGCCTAATATTAAAATATGATTGATACTTTTCCGTCGACTAGAAAAAATAGAACACTCTGTACTCATAGTAACAGAATATTGAGAAAATGTATCTCTGTCGTGCATATCACGACTTTATTGAAACTGATTCTGTTTGTTTTGCAGGTGTCGAAGAGTGCGGTCTTCGGTGCAAAGACTCGCTATACACCGAAAACGAACAACACCAAATACACAATCTTATATGGTACTTTGTAGTCATCTGCTCTATTTTGCACCTATTTGTAGTCCTCACATTCATGATTGACTGGAAGGCAGCCACCAACAAATACCCAGCTCGCGCTATATTTAAAGTAAACATGTGCTTCTTCATCTCAACCTTGGGCTGGTCCATACAGTTTATAAACAGAGAAGACATTGTATGCAAAAGAGATGGCACCTTGCGAAAATCGGAACCAAATTCAAGGGAAAACCTATCTTGCGTCTGCGTTTTCGTCTTGGTTTACTATTTTTTAATTGCTGGATTGGTCTGGATAGGAATCTTTAGTTACACATGGCGTATGAGTTGTGTACAAGCTTTAGGAAAGATTCAAGAACGTGTGGATAAAAAACGTGTTTATTTCAATTTAGGGGCATGGAGTTTGCCTCTTATGTTCATGATTACGACATTCGCTTTGGGAGAAGTCGATGGAGATTATGTTACGGGAATCTGTTTTGTTGGGATGGTTAATTTTGCCGCTAGAGCGTGGTTATTGCTGCTACCTTTAGCAATAATGATGTTGGCTCTTGCATATATCAACATTAGAGGCCTTTTACTTTTGATTAAAGTTAAAAGTGATAGTAAAGAAATAATTGCTGAACATTGTAGAAGGAAAATTCGATCAAATATTGTAAGAATGGGAGTATTTACAATGTTCACAATAGTATTTTGTCTTATCACTTTTATTTATCATGGGTACGTCTTTATCAACTCAGAAGCCTGGAGCAAGAGTCTACAAAGCTATATTTTGTAAGTATTAGTTACCCTTTTAGGATCTGGTTTCGTTTGTGTGAATGTTATCAAAGTTTTTCAAAGTGGCCACTTCACCATTTATATCAGGTGACTGCCTAAATTTTCTTTTACAGTGTCAACGCCAAAGAAAAACCTAATTTTAGCTCATACGGTCAAACTAAAGAATACGTTTTCTGCGATTTTGTGTAAAGTATGTACGTTTACACGATCGTTTAGTAAACATACACCTCAGTCAACAATTTCTAATTCACAATGTCAATTTATTTTACAACTAGCGATAAAATTTTGTTGTACTTCAAGAAATGTATGTGCAGAAATATTAATTCTCATTACAAACGTGGGTATTTATTACAAATATTACAGGTATTGCTTGTAGAGAATTTTTTGGGGTTAATTATCACACGGTATAATACACTGTATTCGTAACCTAGTAGGGTATTAATAATGTCATTTTCTCGTTATATTGAAAAATATGTTTAAAAACTACACATGCAGGAAGTCTTGCTGTGTTTCACTTTTTAATGTCGCGTTCACCGAGCAATAACTTTTTGAACGGGTTATATAAATAACTGTTGTAATGGATATACGTACTCTAATAAGTGGAACATGAAGTTTCTAATTTGTTACATGGTTAATTTTGTCTCGTGTCATTAACTTACAGCATATTGGATTTACGGATTTTATGTATTATTTGTCACCACTTTGTGTAATATAAAAACTTATAAAATAATACATATTTGTTAATTGACAAAAAGAAATAATATTAATTACTATCGTCACAAGTATCAAATTTATTAATGATTTACTCTATTATTAACTTAATGTAATTTATTAATCCACCCTTACTTTTTACGTTAAACATCTAAACTTAAAAAAAAAAAATCAAAATTGGATAAGAAAAAATCTTTGATGATACAATCCGACTGCTCTGAAATCCTACAAACGGTACAAGGCTATCATAAACATAGTAAACTGCTAATCAAAATTTATGTATATTTCCTTCAAAAAACTCGATGAACTTTTAATAAACAAATGCTCTTTAAAATGCACAAAATATTATGCGTCTACATTTGTAGTTAGCAATGCGCTCATGTTTTTAAACTATGCATATTGTTATACGATGATCAGTGATAAAAAATCGGCGTGGGTAAAACTCAACAATCTATTTCTGAATAACTCAAATTTACACGACTGATTACACAGCGATTATGTACAAAATAATTCCGGCGCAACTTGACTGGATTCGACTCATTAACTGAATAATCATCGTTCCCGAAGATCGGTGTTATTTTGGAATACCCATCGCGAGTTCCGCTTCCGGGCTTTTCTTTAGGGAACGCCGTCCGGCCGCCGTCACCGACGATGAGTCACCCATTATTGCCGTGCATATTAGAAATCTCTCGACGGCCCATAGTTTGGATGTAAAGACTTTTGAAAAAAAAAATTGTATGGAAATTGTACAACAAAATTTTACCGTTTATTTTAGACTTAATTACTAAGCTGATTGCTCTGAAATTTAGCACATGGTTTGTGGTTTACGTTATTCATGAGTTTGATAGATCGCTAACCAAAATTGGTTTATCTATCCCCATTCAAATTTTGATGACGTCACCTCGAACATTTGCAAAGTAAAGACTATTTAGACTGTGTAAAATAATATGCGTTTATTTGTTGTTTATTAATCTAGCATATTTTTATTTTAATGTATAGATGGTGTCATATAAAAAACTTATAAAATCAAACTTTACAGAAAACTTTTACTTAAATAATTTTAGTACAGTTTGTTATAATTGACTGAATGAAATGAAGTTTTTAAATGTTTACATCGACGTGGCAGTGCTGCGGTATTTGTCGTACGTTAGAGGCAAGGGAAGTTCTGTATAAACAACTTCACAGATTTTTTATCAAATATAGACCTGACCACAGACCAATATCAGTGTCAAACTTTTTAATCGCATTTCATAATAGACCTCTATTTTTTTTACTATTTTACAATTTTTATATTTTATAACAGATGTAAGCTAACCAGTCTCAGTTCTGACTTTTGTCATTGCAAACAAGAATCTCGTCCGAGCGTTGCCATGCTCCAACTTCAACTCCTCGCACTTTTCGGCAGCGGGATTCTTATGTCTTCCTGGGCATGGTGTCCATCCACTCTCCATAGTTGGGCCCGTTACATTCGAAAGTAATTGCATAAATTATACTTTATTAATTCCCAATCAGCACTTGTATTTGCAGAAAATTTCATTGTGAAGTAGAAGAAAAGAAAAAGCTCCAAAAACATAAAATCATCGCCGAAGCTTTCGCCAAAAGAGACAAATACAATCAAGGCAGCAGAATCTCTATTGCTTGTCAACATTATACGGACCCGGTGGGGTTACATTTTGATTTGAACAGTGCAGTTAGTGACAGTTTCAGCACAGCTTGGGGGATAAATTTACCTCGATTGTTATGCCGAAGAGGGGCAATAGTTAACGAAGTTGGTTATTCAAGTAGTAATCAGTCACTTGATTCTGAAGTTAGTCGTGTCTCGGTAAGGCACGTAAGCATAGAAAGTAGATGTAACTCTGGCGACAGTCAGTTGTCTGTACAGATATCTGAACTGAAAGCTACAAGAAAAGTCAACAGGAGGCGTGGAAGGGGAAGACGGAAATACGACAGAAGAGATGACTGTGGGTCATCCAAGGGTTTATCTGGTATGGGAAAACACGGCAGCAGTGGAAGTTTGGATTCAAATTTACAGTTTTTGAAAGCTTTGACAGATCATTCAAGTATGAAAAAATTAAGGCCGAATTTGAAGAGACGTCCTGCAAATGCGGGTTTAGATGGACAACACATCAATAAGTTGTTATCTAACGGAAAGTTGATCATACCGTACAACAGAAACGAAAAGAGCGGAAGTGAGGATGAAAACATGTCTGTGACGGTATCAGAAAATAAATATAACTTGGTTTTGAGCAATACGAATTTAGATTTAAGTGATCAGTTAGTTATGAAATCTTTAAGACAGGGTTTACACATTGAAGAATTAAGCTCAAGTTCAGATAGCGATGGACAGAATGCACGAGAACAGGAAAAACAATTGAGGTCCGGGAGAGATTCACACCAAAGTCGAAGATCTAAACGATCTAGAACGTCACATAAACCGTACCATAGTAACTCAGACTCTGAAGAAAATGTACAAAGTGATAGCTCAACATGCCCTGAAGTGAGGGAGTTGCTATAGTATAATGTGCCTTGAAAATCAAGACTGATTTTAAAATACTTTTGTAAAAATATTTATTTATACTTTTATGTAACTGTATTTTAATGTACATATGTGGTATCTATGTAGACCAACCAAAGTGAATAATTGAGATTCCATTTTAACTGAAGATATTAAAATTTTTGAACAAAAATTTAACATTTAGTCTTAGTTTTATCTCGTGTATCTTTTACTGATACTAAGATGATGTACAAAATGTATTTATGTACGGAACTTTTACATATCATTGTAATACTATTTTCAAAATAATATTTTAATGTACTTTGCTACAGAGTGGTATTTTTAATAATTCCTCCAACAATTCAACAGTGCTCATCTGTCTTCAGTTGATGTGGCCCATAGCTTACAAATGGCATCACTTTCACTGCATTGTAATAATAATTTAATTGTTTATAGTTTTAATGCACTGAATTTACAGTTTGCGTATTGTAGTTATCAGCTATTCCAGCAAATGTTCAATATTAGAATGTTTTCTTCTCACTATGAAATTTTGGGTAAAAGATATCTTTCATCGGATCCTAAACATTCTTAATAAAAAAAACTAGGATGAAGCACCCAACAATTATTTTTGGACAAAAAAAATGTTTCCATTAAAACTTTTATATAAATCTTAGTCAACAATAAAATGGCCACTAAAAGATCAACGTTTCAGGATAACAAAACGCAATAAAAATGGAAATAATTATTTTATTAATTAAAAAAATTACTGTTCTTTAACTTCTCTGAGACGTCTGACAGCTGATCGTAGAGACGATGCGGCCGTTGTAGAATAAACCCACGCGCCTCCAGCTACAACACGTTTACATCTTTTGCATGACCAAATTCCTACACAACTCCTCTTCATAGCATCCTAAAAATTGGTATCATAAGCATCAACTTCTTTAATTAGTATCCATGACATACCTTTCCACAGAAACTGCATGAATATTTGCTGTGCTGGGTGATTTCCATTTTCTTGACCATTTTACGCAAGGAAGCACCATAGCGGGTTCCATATTTTCCTACGATTCCGACCTTCTTCGTGCGCTTGGCCTAGAAAACATTTTAATATTAGGGGCTAATGCATGTTAAAAACAATAATGTAATAATTTTGAATCATTTAAAATGAACTTAACCTCAAATTTTCATTACTATTGTAAAAAGCAAAAATATGACAAAATATCATTCCTGTACGGTAGCTTATATTTCACAATAATTATCCTTTCATAATTACCAAGATTGTTGTTGAGATGATTGTAATAAAACAAGAATTTTAGGACTTACCATTTTTGTGTACTTTTTGACAAGTTTCACAAACAGGAGAGATGTTGGTAGAACTTTTTCCAATTTACCAAATTTCAAAACATAAAATTCCCTAGAAGGTCCGAAATCCGGTGGTGTCTCACCGGAGTCGGGCAATCTGTAGAAAGCAGATTTAAGAGCATTAAAAATATTTTAAGTAGATATACATAAATATTTTAATTTAGAAAAAGTCTTAGATCCACTCAAATTAAAATAATAAATGAACAAATTATGGCGGTAAAACAGATTTGAATTGGCCAGTGATAAATGTCAGTTGTCACAAGCATGATGGAAGCAACATAAAAGTGATAAGAAATGATCTGAAATGTTCATTACTTTTTGATTTAAATCGTTCTTTATCTGCGTTATTGTAATGTAGTTATTCGGAGGTGTGCGTCTAAAAAATTTTTAACAATGTCTTCGCTGGCGATGCAGCAGTTTGTTGCGGGGTTGAAATCCCGTAACCCTGACTTTCGTCAAAAAACAGCTCGAGAATTAAGCTTATACGTGAAGAGCGAACTTCGAGAGGCCACCCCTGATGAAATAACCAGTTTTTTGGATGACTTCAACCATCATATCTTCGAAATGGTGTCGAGCAATGACCCTAATGAGAAGAAGGGTGGAATTTTAGCCATTGGTTGATTTCTTACCGTCAGTCTATTTACTGTAATAATCTCTTTAACTTCTAGTTTGCTTAATTAGTGTGGATTTTGGTAACATGACAACTCGAATATCTCGTTTTGCCAACTACTTGAGAAACTTGCTTCCTTCAAGTGATGTTAGTGTCATGGAGTCAGTTGCTAAAACTATGGGTAGACTGGCACTTGTTTCTGGATCTAAAGCATCCGAATATGTTGAATTCGAAGTAAAACGGGCTTTTGAATGGTTGACTGGAGACCGAATTGAAGTAATTGTTCTTTGTAATGGGGTGACATCTATATAATGTATGTTATTTTAGGGCAAGCGGCAAGCCGCTGTACTGGTTTTGAAAGAGCTGGCTTTAACAATGCCCACATACTTTTATCAGCACGTTTCTCAGTTTTTTGATTTGATATTTTTTGCAATACAAGATCCAAAGCCAGCCATCAGGGAGAGTGCCGTTGAAGCATTGAGAGCTGCTTTAGTGGTGACGGCACAGAGGGAGACTGCTAAGCAGAATCAGAGGCCCCAATGGTAATTTTATAGAATTATTATATTTGCCAACTTTGTGTTGGGGTTACACTTTTTTTGGAAGATGTTGTATAAGTTTTAAATAACTCATTTTAACGCGTCAGAATTATTCATGAGTATTTTTAGGAGGAACCCTTGGAGCAAGCTGATTTTATATCTGAATCTAGTAGTGAAATGCTGGTTGCCTAAGCTGAAATTAGCTATTTCGTTTTTGTTTTTAATTGGTTACCATGCCAAAAGTGAGGCACTGTTTAAAAAAAAACAGCATGTATTAATTTATGGCAAAGTGTCTCAAACGTAAAAACGTATAGAAAAAACGTTAGGAAAAACCAAGTGGAAAAATATACTAAACTGTTGATCTGAAAAACGTATATATTTGGTTTGGTCGAACTGAAGCGTGACCAATATCTGACAGAGAGCAGAGCATATTTTGTTCTTAAATGTTTCCTTTGAAAAAAATCTGAAAAAAAAAACAGTTTTTACTTCCTAAGCATAAGCTGAGAACATAGGTCTTCCGTTTTTGTCTGTCTGTGAAATTTTATGTGTTGGAATATCGTGTATAGTTAGTTTTTAAAGGCGTTTAAATATTCACTCAACCCAAAATACATATTTCAGAGTTAACCCGACAATTCATTTTCATATAATGTTAAACAATTTTTAATCAGTGTGGATGTTTTGCAAAAAAAAAATTTATTTATTTTCTCTGATGTAATATTTTTTATTATTTTTAACATCTAATCTAAATTACATATTTTATTGGAATTGAAAATATAATCGTCATCCTTAGTTTGTGTACATTATGTCGCATAATTGTGTGCACGCCCTTAAAAAATGAACTAAAATGGTAAACCCATGTAAAACGCTAACCAAACTTTGTCTAATCATCCCCACCAACGATGTAATGATGCTACCTCAAAGTTGTACATAGGAAATGTTATTTAAATTTTATATATAATATAATAATATGCTCTTACAGTTGTGGTTTATGAATCCGTCTTGATTTTTTACATTTGACATGCAAAGTTTTGGCAAAAAAATCATGATGACAGAGAGACGGAAACGGGGGATCTGCTTTGTCGTACCGTAGGAGTTCGGAAACGTCGAAAAGTAAAATCAAAAATTATATTACCAAAGCACAATCAACACTGCCTGGCGGGGAATGTTTTTTACAGATATCTAATAAATACATTTTGAGATAACTTTTTAAAGGAATTCATTAAATTTTTGGTGGAATGAACAATTAATGTTGATTCGCATTTTACCACGTAGACAATAAACTCAAAAGTACAGCAAAAAATTTGCAAAAAATTAGTCCAGTGGTTTCGGAAATGATCTGCTTAATAAAATCTCCAGAAAACTTACAAATGCAGAAACAGGCAGACATACACACCAAGATTTTCATCTTTCATAAGCTTTGAAACATCCAGAAGCCAAAATCAGACATTCGTTAATGTGAGACCATTACACCCAAGCAAAAAAGGTGATTTCAAATCTATACACTGACAACAGAATTAATTTCAATAGATGTACAATTGATGCTCTGGTTGGTGTTTTTTGTTTGTTTAATTTGTGAAAATACCAATATAAACCTCTCTTTCAGGTACAAACAATGCTACGACGAATCCGTAAAAATGCTGTCTGTCGAGCGAGGCGAGCGAATGAAAGAAGAACGCGTGCACGGTTTCCTTCTTATAATAAACGAATTAGTTCGCTGTTCAAACGCAGATTGGGAGCGCAAATACAAAAGTTTACTTGAACGAACTGATACTAAACAAACCGTCGAAACTAGTTTCAATTTCACAAAGTCACGGTTCGTTTTCTCAGTCAGCAGACGCATACCTCAGTACCAAGCAGTGTCTTTAGCTCCTTCTCAAATCGCCATCATAGAATCACAAATCTGCCGTCAGCTTGTCTCCGAAAAATTTGACTACATGTGTTTGGACGTGTTGTCTCAAAGACTGTCACGCTCTTCGCACATACAACAAAGTTTCTTAACTATTTTGCCGCGTTTAGCAACGTTTGACCGAGGAAACTTTGTCAAACAACATTTAAGTACTGTGATGAACCATATTTTTAACATTATTAAGAGTAGAGAAAAAGAGAGAGCCAAAGCATTTGTAACGATAGGAATGATCGCCATAGCTGTGGAATCCGATATAGAGCCTTACGTTGAAAGGATAATGGAAATAATCAGGATGTATCTGCCTAGAGGAGATATCTTAGGCCGGAAGAAGAGTCCCATTGACGCTTCCATTTTTAATTGTGTTACTTTCATGTCGCATGCCCTAAAAAATCACGGAAAGATGGAAATACCCAACCTACTCGAACCTATGTTAGCTACTGGACTTACTGCTTCTTTGACAATATGTCTGAGAGAACTGTCACGTAAGGTCCCAGAACATAAAGAGAAAATTAGTTTGGGATTGTTAAAAATGCTGTCTTACATTCTTCTCAACAAGCCTTTAGTCCATCCAGGAATGCCTCGTCATCTTACCGGAACCGTCATGTCTTTGGGAATCCCCGAAGTGAGCGACACTCAAATTATAGTACTTGCATTAAAAACACTAGGCACTTTTGACTTCGAAGGCCAGCGTTTACTCCCGTTTGTTCATCGTTGTGCTAACCACTTCTTGGTTCATGATAATAACGAAATTCGATTGGAGGCAGTTCGCACAACGTGTCGTTTGCTGAGACATGCAATTCATAGTACGGCTAAAAACTCCTCTGAAACGGTCACTAAAACAGTGGCTGCCGTATTGCATAGACTGCTTAGTGTGGGTTTGACAGATACCGATCCAAACGTTAGATATGGGGTTCTTATTTCTTTAGATCGCACTTTCGATAACCATCTAGCCCAGGCCGAGTCTTTAAGTGCATTGTTTGTAGCCTTGCAAGATGAGATGTTCGAAATTAGAGAAGTGGCGCTTTTCACTATTGGAAGGTTAAGTGCCATGAATCCAGCCTACGTGATGCCCTCACTTCGAAAAACCTTGGTGCAGCTGTTGTCAGAACTGGAGCACTCGGGAAGTGGAAGAAATAAGGAGCAGGGAGCGAGAATGGTGGATCATCTGGTCGTGAGTGCTCCGAGAATGATACGCCCATACATGGAACCTATTTTAAAGGTAAGAACTTGGTAGTTGTTTGTGAATAGGCTTAATAGCAGGTTTAATACAAATAAGTAAATTCTTGATTCATGCAAACTTTCATTATTTGATATGTCTGGTACCTAAGTTTTTTTAACAGGTTCTTGTTCCTAAACTCCGTGATCCTGAGCCTAATCCAGGCGTCGTTCTCTCCGTCCTTCTAACTATCGGCGACCTAGCAGAAGTGAGCAGCGGTGGTACCGAACTCCAAGAATGGATGCAAGAACTGATGGGCATTTTATTGGAAATGTTAGGCGACGCTTCAGCCCCAGAGAAACGAGGGGCTGCCTTATGCACTCTCGGACAACTTGTTGGTGTTACCGGTCATGTGATCCAACCATACACACAGTATCCGGTGTTGTTGGATGTGTTGCTGAATTTTTTGAAAACTGAACAGCAATCGTATATACGGAGGGAAACGATTCGAGTTTTGGGACTTCTAGGTGCCTTGGATCCGTACAAGCATAAAATAAACCGAGGAGAAATCGACTATTATCCAGAAGCACCAGTTTTGATCCCCATGACTGATAAAGGAGAGGATTTGAATGCTGATTTAACATCGAGCGAGATGTTAGTGAACATGAGCTCTAATACTCTGGAGGAGTATTATTTGGCGATTGCTATAGCAACTTTGATGAGGATTATCAAAGATCCTACTTTGGCACAGCATCACACTATGGTTGTTCAAGCAGTTACTTTTATTTTCAAAAGTTTGGGAATTAAGTGTGTGCCGTATATTTCACAAGTTTTGCCCAGTTTGTTGTATGTAGTGAGGACAGGTAAGTGGAATTCATTGAACTAATTAAAACAATGGAATAGTCACCTGTCAATAGTTACGGGACGAGAATTTAATAATTTTCGTTTCACTACTGGGACATTTTTTTAATTCTGAACATACACCATGAAGTCCCAGTTTGAAAAAAAACCACTTTGCAATCAATGGCGACCTTTTTTAGAAATTTGGTTATTCATTTGTGCTGTAGAGACAAAGATAAATAAATAGATTCATCGCCGCTCGGTAAATATGTATGTGAAGCGAAAATGAATAACAAACAAATTTTGTCGAGTATTGCACATTTTACAAATAAAACAAAAGTTTATTCGTAACAGTATAAACCCAAAAACGAAAAGTATGAAGAAAACAAAATAAATTAAAAAAAAAAATAACCCCTTCTAAAGTGTGCATGTTACGCTACTGACAGAGAGTCCGATCCTAATTCTAATGACTCACCATGTTGTGCTCCAGATCTAGTAGCGTGGTTTTCTTGTTGTATGCTTATAAACCTAAATAAAGAATAGGAATCGTAAAACTATAATTCCTTTTCTTTTAGTTATTGTATTATACAACTCCCATATCTATTAATGAAATAAGGATAAATACAGTGATTTCGATTCGACACTATAATATACGAATTTAGGAAAACATTCCAGGGTTTTAATTTAGTTCAATACTTGTCCAATTAAAAAGGCGACAAATTGACCAAATAATTTTCCAGCTGACGTTAATTTCAAAGAGTTTTTGTTCCAACAACTTGCACAGCTGATCTACATCGTTAAGCAACACATTCGAAATTACTTAGACGACATATGTCAATTGATTAAAGAATTCTGGACACCAAGTAGTACCATCCAAGGCACACTTATTTTATTAGTAGAACACATCGCAGTTGCACTGGGTGCGGAATTTAAAGTATATCTTCCAAAAATGCTGCCTCACATTTTACGTGTTCTAAATCATGACACTTCGAAGGAGAGATTATACACCATTAAACTTTTAGAAGCCTTGCATAATTTTGGCAATAATTTAGACGAGTATATGCACCTGATTTTACCACCAATCGTGCGATTGTTTGATGCGCAAGACTGTCCACTAGTTGTTTCAAAAAAAGCTCTAGAAACCATCGACCAGTTAGCGGAAATTATCGATTTCTCCGACTTCATTTCGAGAATTGTACACCCTTTGGTCCGGACAATCGATAATTGTCCAGAATTACGACCAACAGCAATGGATACCTTGTGTTCTCTTATGCAACAATTAGGACGTAAGTTTAGCATTTTTGTACCTCTGATACAAAAAGTGATGTCAAAACATAAAATACAGCATAGTAAGTTTGATATGCTAGTGTCTAAGATACAAAACGAAACAACGTTGGCAGAAGATGGCGATTTTCCAATGCCTAGATCTAAATCTAGTCTGAAAAATCGTGATCCTGCGATGCCTGCAGACAGCGGAATGATACAAAGATTGAAGGTTTCTGAATCTAACCTCCAACAGGCTTGGACTCCGGTTCGTAGAGTTTCAAAAGATGATTGGTTAGAGTGGCTGAGGAGGTTAAGCATTGAACTTTTAAAACAATCACCAATTCCGGCGTTACGTTCGTGTTTGACTTTAGCTCAGACTTATTCACAGTTACCTAGAGATCTTTTCAACGCAGCTTTCGTCAGCTGTTGGTCGGAACTTGGTGAAAGCATGCAAAAAGAACTGATTACGTGCTTGGAACAAGCGCTTACAGTGCCTGATGTACCGGAAATTACACAAACTATTCTAAATTTGGCTGAATTCATGGAGCACTGCGATAAGGGACCATTACCACTGGATACACACATTTTGGGATCCCACGCTATGCATTGTCGAGCGTACGCAAAAGCGTTACATTACAAAGAAGAAGAATTTCAAAGAGGAGCTAGTAGTCAAGTAGTTGAAGCTCTTATTTCCATTAATAATAAATTACAGCAAAAAGAGGCGGCTGAAGGGTTGCTGCAGTACGTTATGCAGCGAGACATGCAAGTGCAAGTGAGGTGGTACGAAAAGCTACACAACTGGGAAAAAGCCTTACGTTTATATATCGAAAAAATGGAAGTAGATAACGCGGACCAAGAAGCTTGTTTGGGAAGGATGAGGTTAACACATGAATTGGAAATGGTGAACAAAATTAATAAATATACTTTTTGCAGATGTTTGGAAGCTTTAGGAGAATGGGGCGAACTTCATCAAATTGTAGAAAAGAACTTTATTGTATTGTCAGATGATAACAAACAGAAAGCTAGTAGATTAGCAGCAGCCGCTTCGTTTGGCTTACACGATTATAGATCCATGGAAAGGTACGTCAACGTGATACCAAGAGATACTCAAGATGGTGCATTTTACCGTGCCATTTTAGCTATACACAAAGAAGATTACGAAGCGGTAAAAACTGTTTCTTTTGGTTCTCGTCAGATTTGTTGTCATTCTTTGATTTGTAGGCTCAAAGATTTATCGATTCCGCTCGTGATCTTCTGGATAATGAATTGACTGCAATGGCAGGCGAGTCTTATCAGCGGGCATACGGTGCTATGGTTATGGTTCAAATGCTGTCTGAATTGGAAGAGGTGATGCAATATCGTTTAGTTCCTGAACGCAGACCCACGCTCAAAGCTATGTGGTGGCAAAGGTTGCAATCTGGGCAGAGACTGGTTGAAGATTGGCAGAGAATCATTCAAGTTCATTCGTTGGTTTTGACGCCCCAAGAAGATAAAAGAACGTGGGTAAAATATGCTTCCTTGTGCAGAAAGAGTGGTTCTTTGGTAAGTGGTTCTATATATTTTTAGTGTTACTACTTCCAATTGACTGAAATTGTATTTTATATGAAAAAGTATTAGCATTTTAAAAGAATTTGTGTTAGATGTACGCATTTTTTTATTTTATTTAAATAGGTAGTATAGTCCTTGTATTTTTACTCGTTTCTTGTGAACTCATGGTATACTGTAAACGTTTTATTATTATTATTATTATTATTCTACGTATTTATAGATATTTGTTGTTTGCAAGTAGAACCACGTAATATTTTTATAAAACATTATTTCAGTCGATTTCGTGTCACTTTAATTTAGCTTAATTCTGTACCGAATTACTCTATCGTAGATGCTTTCCCAAAAAACGTTAGTGATGTTGCTGGGGTACGACCCGAGCGAACGCCCTGATATGCCCCTTCCTAAAAACCAACCCCACGTAACTCTGGCCTACACGAAACATTTATGGGTTGCTCAAGAAAAACAGAAGGCCTATCAGAAGTTGTCACAGTTTGTAGCAGAATATACGCACAGCGAACCTAGCGATGATGTTACCATTGAAGAGAAAAAGCGACTCCTGGCTCGATGTTATCTGAAGTTAGGTGCCTGGCAAGAAGTTTTAGAAGGAATAAATGAGACGTCAATTCCGTTTATTTTGAAATGTTACAAACAAGCGACTGAGCATGATCCGCAGTGGTACAAAGCTTGGCATGCTTGGGCTTATATGAATTTTGAAACTGTGTTGTACTACAACCATCAGGAAGAGAAAACCCACTACACCGTTTTAGCTGTTCAGGGTTTCTTCAAGTGAGTTGTTTAGGTGGGGTGTGTTGCCACATTTATAATTTTTTACAGATCGATTAACTTATCGAAGGGAAGTTCGTTACAAGATACGCTACGTCTTCTGACTTTGTGGTTTGATTATGGCGACTGGCCTGAAGTATACGATGCCATTGTTGAAGGAATAAGACTCGTGGAAAAGAATACGTGGCTTCAGGTTATACCTCAGTTGATTGCTAGGATTGATACGACGGCGTTAGTCTCTAAGTTAATTAATCATCTTCTCGTGGATATCGGAAAAACGCATCCCCAGGTAAATCAGATTAAAGTGACGCAAAAAGTTCAGAAAATTATTTATTAAAATTTATAGGCTTTAGTGTATCCATTAACAGTCGCTACCAAAAGCAACTCGATACGTAGAAGAAACGCGGCTAATAGTATATTGAAATCGATGAGCGAACATTCGCCGACTTTAGTCAGTCAGGCCATGATGGCCTCTGAAGAACTAATCCGTGTAGCTATTTTATGGCATGAAATTTGGCATGAAGGTTTAGAAGAAGCCTCAAGGTAAGAACTTATTTTTTTATGGTTTTGGTGTTATATATTTACTATGAATAGAAATAAATCAGTTCTTTGGTGAAGTTTGCCGCAAACAGCAATTTTTATGGTAAAAGTTTTATTAAATTTTTCTTTGAAAATAGAATTCCACTAGTTACTAATAAATGCAAAAATACAGATTTGCCAAAAGTATATGCAGGATGTCCCAAGGATCAATTTTGGGATCACTGCTGTTTTTATGATTTGTATTGATCTTTTATGGTGGAGTCTGTGAAACTACTGTTTTAGTTTATTAGTCCATATAACAAACGGGACAAATTTGGATAGATCGGTTCTTTATTTTTCATTGCACTCTTAGTATATTGTATACAGGGTGAATCGATTAAACGCACGTTCCTAGATATCTTATTAATTATTACTAGAAACAGAAAAAAAGTCAAGTACTAAAGTTGTAAAGTTTTCCCCTAGAAGAATAACAGAAGACCTATCTTTTGTAGTTTTTGCGTCTACTAGCCGAACTAAAAAGTATTTTTCTTGGTCTTTTACGTTGTCAGTGGTTAAAGAGACCAATTCCTGACGTCTAAAGGCTCCTGCTACGCCAAAAATAAGGTTAACCTAGAAAATGGAGCTCTTTCGTAATTGTTCTATAAAAACTTGGTAACATACGTTGCTCAGTAAATGCATTGCGTTATAAGAATTCAACAAAAAAGAATCTACATTTCAGTTAGATAAAATATTGGAGATTTTTTTGCCGTGTACCCTTCTCCCTTCCTTTTCAGATAGGGAATAATGCTTGAAAATAGCCATACCAAATACCTTCTTTTAAATTAATTGTACTTCGCAACATACGAGTATTTTGTCCATGATTTCAAAGAAGCGAGTTCAGTTTTTAGAGAAGCCAATATATGTAGTATCTTCTGTAGTTTTTTCGATTTTCTGCTTTCCGCACCATTTTTTATACGCGGCGTAAATTTCTACATATAAACCTCATGTCTTTATTGGGAGGCGTGTTTCTTTTGTCTTTTGGTTTCGAAGCAATTTTTTTTATTTCCAATCTCACGATTTCCAATACAACCTGCGAAAACTGTTTTTCAAAACAAATGAAAATTTACACAAATTTGTCACTTTGACAACTCTATAACATGACTATTATAGATGCTTATTATTTTGTTTTTTGTATTTCTACATTTTTATAAAAGATTTAATTACTGCAGTCGGGCATAAAGCTTTGTATATATGTAATTCGTACATAAACCGGCTTTAGTGACTCGCCTTCTTAATCGACTCGATCGCTGCGCTGTTAAAATTGGCTTATCAATAAAGCCCTGGTTTATGTACTTATTAGATAAATAGAGCTGTGTTTTTTTTTCCATTACGATTATTTTTACCATCTCCATCTGTGTTACAATATTGTATAAAGACATATACAGTTGTATAGAAAAAAATATGTAATAAAATCGCAGATAAAACTTTGTGACAAAGAAACGTCAAAATTTTCAGATTTGTATATTATAAGCAGGCTTCGGCATCACGGAAGTGATGCTCATTGGCGTCCGATTGCTAGTTGCGGCCACGTTTTCTGTTACAATGTCGGGAATTGCTAGAAACAATAATTATTACTTTTTCTAGGTTTTACTCATCAATTATACGAGTTCTCCTAGATGTTACAATTGCTTTAAAAATTAAAAATGATCGTTCCACATCACAATTTTCATGATGATTTTGATCAAATAAACCCTGAACTGAAACAAAGCCACTGAGTTTGAGACTGCATGGTCGGCCAGCCAAATTTATCGCCTGACGTCGCGCCGTCGTATTTAATATTTGTCTGATTGATTGATTCTTCGTCACTTCGGCTTTGACTAATTGTGGTTATAAGCAATATAAGCTATACACAGAGACGTGGGTTTAGCCACAGACAATGGGATAACAGTTGAGTTACGACGTATCATTTCCTCATCAAATCTGTCAACTATCATTCTATTTTGACACTTCAATGTAGTGGATAAATGAAAAAGATGTTGACAAGTTAAGTAAGTGCATCCACTTTGTCACTAACTTTTGTCTGCGACTTTAAAACACCTATATTTTACTACTAACTGGTCTAATGGCGAATTGACTGTACTAGAAGTTGATAGTCGTCTTCCACGATAACGTTATTTGGCCACATAATTGATTTCCATTGTTTATCATTTATCAGATATGTAAAATTTTAACATATTACGGTTTCCAAACAGTGTTGCCCTTTAAAAAACAAATTTTAATGATTGTACAAAATTATAAATTTAAATAAATCTTAATTAACGTTAGCCACACAATAATCTTGAGATACTTACACCTAAATCTAACATTTCAAAATAATCTGTTTCGGAGGTGATTGCCAACAGACCAAGTGGTCAGTGGCCAAGCACTTTGGAAAAATCTTACAAATTATTTTTTAAACAAAAAACGGCGTTGATATCGGTAGTGGTTTCTGATCGTCTTCTTGAGATTGAGGTTGATTTTCTATTGGTTAAAAAATTAAATTTTCAGCAGTTACTACACAATTGGTAGTCTTTTTTTTTCGTTTTTTTTCTTTCTTTTTTTAAATAAACAATTATTTATTGATGTGTTTTTTTTTGTATTCATGTTCTTATAGTTTAAGCTTCGTAATTGAGTCGCGACCTGTGGAGCTTATATTTTAATAATAATAGTACTAATAATAATAGACCGACAAACGGAAACAGGAAACCGACATTTTGATATCTTGCAAGTAAAATATTATTTTGTTAAAGCATTTTTTACGCTTTGTTTTCTAAATATGTTTTTGCGTAAGTAAAAATCAGTTTTTCATATTCATGAAATTATTTCTTTTATTATGCTTTTCTGAACAATCCAATCCAACATTTTATCAACTTTTAAATCGAGTTGCATTAGCAACGTTGATCAGAAAATTATTTTTTTTAATTGAAAAAAAAAAGTGCAAAATCTGAAAAATAAAAAAAGTTTAATGGCATTTCTGCAATATACTTTTCCGTACCTTTTTTTAAAGCAGTGAATTTACGTCTACACGCTGGGTGTTATTCTCCATTTCCAAATTTAATAGCAATAGTCATTACTTTTGGATAATAAATAAAAAAGTTATTCTAGGTGACCCCTTTTTGCTCACTCACCCTCCACTGTGTTCATAGAACTTCAGGAAAATGAGACAAGCCATTTTTGATTTAAAATAAATTGCTCGGATTTCTAAACCACAGGTATAGAAGGATATTATTTTACACATTTTAAAGGAGCATTCCACGAAAAACAGGAACTTGCAATATTTTTAAAAACAAACTAAAACAATAAAGTTTTTGCGCATTTAGATTGCTTAAAGTTCTTAAAATCCGTAATCAGCCATAACTTATAAACATCACATAAATAAATTGACTTATTATATGTCAAAATGTTTGACAGGAATTGCATCATATTGAAATTTGTTGTAATTTATTTGTTTGTTATTGTTTATGTTTAGTTTTGTCATTATGGTGTGTTTACTATTCACATATGTCCCATACGTGACAGTTCAAAAATAATTTCCTATAAAAAAAGCCGTCAAGGGCAATAATTTAAAATAATATCCAAATTAAAGGTTGTAACTTCTATTATTAATATATAATATCACCCTCTTCGGATAATTCAAACGGAGCAGATATAGCAAAATTTTTTCGATACATTTAGAATGTGAGAATTTTTGATGTCCCATACGTGACATACTTTAGTATTGAATTTGTTGTAATATGCAAAACAAAAACCTAAAAACAAATTGACCAAGATTGTTCAAAAAACTCAATTTTTCTAAGGTAGCCGCCATTGTGGTCATTTCCGCTTTAGAAAACTAATATGACAAAGTTTTACACAAAATTATTGTTACAAATGTCCCGAACGTGACAGTGGAATGCTCCTAAATAGAATTTATTTATCAAAATTTTGAGATGAAATCACCAAATTTTATCTGGAATATAAGTCAAAATTTTGTTGCCGTTATACCATCTGCAATGACATTTAAAAAATAAATCTAAAATATCTGTTTCGAAAATTATATGTTTAATAAAATAGTCAACAGATACAGACAGACGGAACGGAGACCTACTTTTTAATATTTTAGGAGCTATGAAACGTCAAATAAATATGAAATTAGCCATAGGCTAATAGACAAGTAGGTTTTCAATGAAATATATATATTGATTAATTTAAAAGAACTGTATATTAACTCAAGCTAATAAGTCTGAAATTAGTGAATACGTTGAAAGCTTCGAAATTGTTCCATAAATAGGGACCACATTATATCTTTTTACTTCCCGAGCGTAAGCAAAGGAAGTATTGTAATCGAGTCCGTCGGCCGACTCTCTACTTTTACGTTTTCTCGATCTTTCATGACCCCTAGAAGACGAAGAAATAGGTCTCCCATTTCCGTCTGTCTGTCCGTCTGTCCGTCTGCCGTCCCGGATTTTTATTAGACAGATAATCTCCGAAAGTACTGGACCGATTGTTGTGAAATTTTGTACTTATATTAGGAATATCATGTAGATGGTAAAACGCTAACCAAAATTTGTCTAATCATCCCCACCACTAATGCGATGACGTCACTTCAAAATTGTACATAGTAAATGGGTCTTAAATTGTTTAAAATAACATAGTCCTACACATGTAGTTTACGACTCCGAATTCAGTTTTTACCCGAAACGTCCAGATTTTTGGAAAAAAAATCAAAATCATAAAACAACATTTTGCAATTTAATTTTGAATCTGCTAACCCGAATGTTTTAAAATGTTGCAGATGTTTTAAGGCTCTAAAGAGCATCATAAATCTTTAGTCAAAATATATTTGGTTATCCCCTCCAAAAACTTGATGACGTCAGCTCAAAAGTTTGCCGAATAAATCCTATCTAAAATGTACAAAATATGATGCGTCTGTACTTGTGATATATCACTCCATTCATATTTTTTGGATTTGCATATACAGGGTGACTCAAAAAAATTAATGAATGCGCAAAATTTATTTTACTGATTTACTCAGGAACTACAAAACCGAATGCTTTGAAATCTTGAAGATGTTTTAAAATTATCATAAGCATGGTAAATTTTTGATCAAAATGTATTTGGTCGTCCCCTCCTAAAAAATTTATGACGTCACCACAAAATTTTGCTGAATAAATCCTATCTAAAATGTGAAAAATATGATGAGTCTGTACTTGTGATTTATCATTCCAATCGTATTTTTTGGATTTGCATATACAGGGTGTCTCAAAAAAATTAATGAATGCATGAATTTATTTTATTGGTTTAATCAGGATTTACAGAACCGAATGTTTTGAAATCTTGGAGATGTTTTAAAGTTATTATAAGCATGGTAAATTTTTTATCAAAATGTATTTGCTCATCCTCCCTAAAAAATTGATGACGTCACCCCAAAATTTTGCTGAATAAATCCTATCTAAAATGTACAAAATATGAGGAGTCTGTACTTGTGATTTATCATTCCATTCATATTTTTGGATTTGCATATACAGGGTGACTCAAAAAAAATAATGAATGCGTGAATTTATTTTATCGATTTAATCAGGAATTACAAAACCGAATGCTTTGAAATCTTGGAGATATTTTAAAGTTATTATAAGCATGGTAAACTTTTGTTCAAAATGTATTTGTTCATCCCTCCTAAAAAAATTGATGACGTCACCCTTAAATTTTGCTGAATAAATCCTATCTAAAATGCAAAAAATATGATGAGTTTGTACTTGTGATTTATCATTCCATTCATATTTTTTAGATTTTCTTAAGAGGTGGCTCAAAAAAATTAATGAAGTCAATTTATTTTATTGATTATATTAAAGGCAACACTTATTATTAGTATTACATTGGACCAACCCAATTTGGTAGACACAAAATTTTTTAAAGTAAAAACTCGGTTGAAACATAAGGGTAGCACGCTTATTTACATCGACTTTAACATTACAGACGTGCATTTGTTTTATGCGCTGACTATAGGTTCCGCGAATGTAGAATAGACATGTTTATAATTGTGAATTTCACCGTCAAAAATAAAAATAAAACCCAATGTTTTATATAATAAGCGGAAGTCGAAGCAATAAAACCGATGGTCGTTTTGTTTACAGTTTCTCTGTTTGACTCTCACGTATGCTGTTACGCTTGTCATCTTAAATTAAGAATGTTTATACATAAACGATTTTCAGTTGCCGTATACGTGAGTAAATTGTTTCGTTATTTTATTGATTATAAAAAATCAATATTCAAAACGACCCAATTCATTTTCCCGAAAATTTGGGAATACAATAATTTTATTCTTAGTATTACACTACATCTATCCCAACTGATATACGTGTCCTCGCAAAAATGTTGATGACGTCATCGCAATTTTTTTTAAATTCCCACTACAAAAATGTAATGAGAAAAAAACACAAGAGCCATGCAGTCGTCAAGTTTCCGACAGCGAGGGAAGTACTGTCTAAACTCTTTAGACCAATTTTTTATTAATACCATAAACAAAAGTGAAGTATTAAATATATACAACTTCAGAAGGTTAAAACTAAAATTAAGCGTGTGTTGTATGACGAACGGTCAATAAATACTTAATACACATACTGTCTTCATTTATAGACTATACTTTGGGGAACGAAATGTTAAAGGAATGTTGCGCATTCTTGAACCCCTTCATGCGATGATGGAACGTGGCCCACAAACATTAAAAGAAACTAGCTTCAATCAAACCTACGGGAGAGACTTGAACGAAGCTCAAGAGTGGTGTCAAAGATATAAGGTGCTAGTGGAACCTCAGAATTCCCAGACTAATATTAATTATTTACAGCTCTCAAGCAATATACGGGATTTAAACCAGGCCTGGGATCTGTACTATCATGTGTTCAGGCGAATTTCGCGCCAGCTACCTCAACTAACTTCACTCGAACTCCAGTACGTGTCTCCGAATTTACTAGTTTGCCAAGATCTAGAATTGGCCGTGCCTGGCAGCTACAGTCCGGGTCAACAAGTGGTTAGAATTGCGTATTTCAATAGATCTCTGGAGGTAAGCTGGCAGAGCAGGGCGGTAGATATTTTAAAAATAATGTTACAGGTGATCACTTCAAAGCAGCGTCCAAGAAAATTGGTGATCAGAGGCAGCAACGGAAAAGAATACATGTTTTTGCTCAAAGGTCATGAAGATTTAAGACAAGATGAAAGAGTCATGCAGTTATTTGGTTTAGTAAATACCCTTTTGATGAAAGATCCTGATACATTTAGGCGTAATTTGACAATCCAAAGGTATGCCGTCATTCCGCTTAGTACTAATTCGGGTCTGATAGGGTGGCTACCACACTGCGACACCTTACACACGCTGATCAGAGACTACCGCGACAAAAAGAAAATTTTGCTTAATATAGAACACAGAATTATGTTGCGGATGGCTCCCGATTATGATCATTTAACTGTAATGCAAAAAATGGAGGTGTTCGAGCACGCCCTGGAACATACACATGGCGACGACTTAGCTAGGTTATTGTGGTTGAAGAGTCCTTCATCTGAAGTGTGGTTTGACAGAAGGACAAATTACACTAGGTCATTGGCTGTGATGTCAATGGTGGGATACATTCTTGGTTTGGGAGACAGGCATCCTTCTAATTTGATGTTGGATAGATTAAGTGGCAAAATCCTTCACATAGATTTTGGGGACTGTTTCGAAGTAGCCATGACACGGGAAAAATTCCCCGAAAAAATTCCTTTCCGTTTGACCAGGATGTTAATAAACGCGATGGAGGTGACTGGAATTGAGGGAACGTACAGGAGAACGTGCGAGTCTGTGATGTCTATGTTACATAGAAATAAAGACAGCTTGATGGCTGTATTGGAAGCTTTTGTATATGATCCGTTACTCAATTGGAGACTGATGGATATTGAGGTTCGGAATTTGCCGATGAATAATGATTCAATGTCGACCAGTTGTTCGCAAAAGCAAGACTTGTCTGAATCGTTAAATATTCCGAAAAGAGAGTTGTTAATGGCAGATGATAACGAACCACAACATGAAGTTAATGCAAGGGCGGTTATTATTATTAATAGGGTGCGGGATAAGTTGACTGCGAATGATTTTGGAACGGAGGAACCACTAACTATTCCAAAACAAGTAGATTTGTTAATACAGCAAGCCACGAGTAATGAAAATTTATCCCAATGCTATATAGGTTGGTGTCCGTTTTGGTAACTGTTTCTTTTTTTCTTTCAGTACAATTATGTCTTGAGTACAAAGGTGATATAGTTAGGTTTCAACATTCTTCATAACAATATGTGAAATATATATCCAAACAAATCTTTGTAGTTATTAGTTTGTAAAAAAAGTAATTACGTAATTAGAATCACAAATATTAATTCAAGGCCGTTTTATAAGTTTAAATGTTCGCCTAACTAAATCACTGATTAGATAACAAAATGGATTGTTTTGCCTTTCCAAGATTTATATCTGGTCGTTTTCGTGATAAAGCGCTTGTCAAGTAATACTTAAACACATTGGAGAGTGTGTTATCTACCTTCTACTTAGTTTTGTTTATCTATATCTTATTTTTTATATTATCTACTAAAAATTAAAGACTTAATATTATACTGCGCTTTTATTTCCTTACACTTACCATTTACACTGAAATATCACAACAAAACTAAAATGTATAGTCACTACTAGGATGCATGAACTGATGAGGTAGAAGTTGGTTTATGTCAGTTACTAAAACCTGATCCAATTCAGGTTTAGCAACGTAGACATCAATATTGCCAAATTCACTCATAAATTGTCTACATGCACCACATGGTGTTGTGAAAGACTTTTCTTGATATCCTATCACAGCAATAGCTTTGTACTTCATATTACCTTCACTGATTGCTTTTGCAAAAGCTGTCCTTTCTGCACAGATGCCCACAGTAAAGGCCGAATTTTCAATATTACACCCCCGGTAAATGGTACCATTTTCACAAAGTAATGCAGCGCCTACTTGAAATTTACTGTACGGACAGTATGCAAAGGTTCTGGCTTCAACTGCCTCCCTTAATACTTGCTGTATTTTTGTATCTGAAACAAAAGAATGACAGATTAGTATGGTACCAATAATGACCAAAATTTAACGAGGAAAATACGTTTTTAAACAACTGATCAAACCAAATCTTAATAAACCATAACAGATTACATAACCTATACTTTTTATGCTATAATGTTACAATTTATTTTCGTAGTGTTTTATCTAGCGAACACGCTGTGTTATAGTTCAGGGAACAGAAAAATATACTAATCAATAAAAAAAAATTATATGCGCTTACCCAAGCTTTTAAATTTTGCAACATTACTTGCGCTAGGATCAGAAGTGGAATTTCTTGCTGACATTACTAACAAGAGGACTTTAAATTATTTTCTGCGTGGTATTAAAATTATGAACAATGAGAAATATAACTTTGTAATCCGTTTTATATCATATTAATCTGATAAAAACACATTTATCAACATTATGGAAATTCACACATAAGGAAAACAAAATTTGAAGGTCTTGAAAAATGTGGAAAGGTCAAATTCTAATTAATTACTAGTAATTTCAAATTATATTACAATTTTAGTGATAACGAGTCAAAAATGTGTAATTATTAAAAATTTGCATTACGTACACATATTTTCAGTGCAGTTGTATATCTATTTACTTTAAGCAAGAAACATCCTACTTTTATTTATAAATAAGTATGAATATACACATAAATAAATACATATACTGCGACTATAACTTTATTTGCTGTTTATTACGCTGATAAGAACTGAAGCGTACAAGCCGAAATAGCTCAGTTGGGAGAGCGTTAGACTGAAGATCTAAAGGTCCCCGGTTCAATCCCGGGTTTCGGCAAAAGTTTTTTTATTTAATTCAAAAAAGAGATATATGTATACAATACCAATAATTTTTTAGATATATGTATGTTTACGAACCTTTTATTTAGTACATTACAGTATTATTCTGTAATTAATTTAACATTACTATGCAAATCTTCTTTTCTTATCAGCATGCTGTAATCTTTAAAACTGTTACAGCACGAAGTAACTTATCCCATAATAATTGTCCCAAATTTTATATGTATAATTTATACTTTCAAGACATAAAAAAACTAAAATTCAATCATCCTTAGAGTGTGACATAATTCCTTCTAGTAATTTTAATATTGCAAATATCTAAACACTTCTACATGGCTGTATAATTTATAAATTATTTAGAAAAAATTAGTCGAAAATTGTTTCGACAGAACTTCCCTCTCCCCCTGAAGTATAGCCCAATAAATTTCTCTTCTTTGAAAACTTAAAAAAAATTATTTTGCAATTTTTTTGTGATAAGCCATATAAAGTAAAAAATTGATCCAAAGTTATTTAGACAGAACTTTCTTCCCTCCTCAAGTACAGGCGAACAAATATTGAATCTTCGAAAAATTTAATTTTGCGAATTTGATTTTATTTTTAACAACCCATATAAGTTAAAATAAAGTTATGTGTCGACTGTTAAAGTGCAGAGAAAGAAGCATGCTACGCGTATGTTTCAAGTGAGTTTTCATAACAAAATTGTGTGATGACTGATGACATTATCAAATTTTAGCAAGGAAGCGGTATCAGTTTGAATAGGTGCAGTGTAATACTAATAATAACAGTACAGCATACTCAAATTTTCGGGAAAATGGGGTGAGCCGTTCTTGATTTGATCAATAAAATAAATTGACTTATTCATTAATTTTTTTGATCCACCTGTTTAAGCAAAACTAAAAAATATGATTACAATGATATCATACTTAAAAACACATCATATTTTGCACATTTTGAGTAGAATTTATTCTTCGTCTTATTATTCATTAATTTTCTTGAGTCGCCCTGTATAAGTCATTCTAAAAAATATGAACGCATTAATAAACCACCAGTATAAGTTCAAAATATTTTGCATACTTTGGACATGATTTACTCGTCAAAATTTTGAGATGATCTCATCAATTTTTTGGGAGGGGATAAACGAATAAATTTTGACAACAATCGGTTTAGTAGTTCTGGAGATCATCTGTCTAATAAAAATCGACACAGACGGCAGACTTGGAGCACAGCTTGGAGACAGATAGACGAAAATAGGAAACCTAAGTTTTCATATTCTAAGAGCCATGAAACGTCAAGAAAACATAAAAGTAGCCTTTCGTCAGGTGCACCACTCTATTACAATATTTTTTTGTATCAACAGAATCTAAGTTAACCAAAAATTGTCAACTTATTTTTTTCAAAAAGTTAATAATATGTATATCAATCTAAGATATCACTCTAAAATATTGTTGAATAAATCCCATATTTAACTCGGCGGCCTACGTCTTGATAACGGATACAAATACTGAATTTCTGTAAACATCGAGTATATCTACCCTAAAAAAAAAACAAATTCTTTTTTAATGAAAAGTACTCCCTGAAGTAACTTGTTTTTATATACACTTTGTTATTTTTCAGAACCGTTTTATGATGGTCTAAAAAATTGAAATAAAAATGAACACCTAAAACCCGCAAAATTTAAAATATAGCCAGAGGTCGTGAACCCTAGGTATCCACAATAAAACGTGAACAAAGATTATAAAATTTTAATTTTATAATAAGAGAATAATAAAGATCAAGCTACGTAGTTTATGAAGATAATATCGCGGAATGAATTTGTTGGTATAAAATAATGATTAATGAAACTTAACTTAAAATGATTAGAGGATGGCATTTAGCAGACTAGTAAATATTTTAAATTTGACCCAAAATTGGAGGCACTGTTTTATTTATTATACATGGTCAGGAAAAAAATTCTCTTGTGTTTTTTCATCGTTTAAACAAGTTAACTCAATGCAAAAAAAGTATTATCATTAAAATTTCTCGGTTAAATAGACCCAGGCTCCCGGGGCTGCGTTGAAACTACAGTAGCGGTCATTTCTACGGAACCACTCGATAAAAAGTCAAGTTGGTAGCCCTGTCATCTAGTACTTTACGCCGAATGCAGTTGGTAGCGATAGTTGACATGGCAATCGAAACTAGTACAACACGAATGTTTCGGTTGCCCTCAGCTATGCCGCACTGTATCCCGTGCAGACTGTATGTTCTGTTCATCTATTTATTAAAATAAAATATCTACATTGACAATGGCGCCATCTAACCTGTCAAATTTTTGACACATATGTTTTCCCCCAGAAACCCGTCAAGGTCACTTACACCAAACAAATTTTGAAAATTTACACTAGGGAGTGGTTCTATAGAAAAGATCGCGACTTTAATTTGTCATTTCCCACTGTTATCCGAAGCCGGTCCTGGATAACCTTCATATCTATTACCTCACGACATAATTTATTTCTTTGTAAAAAGTCAGTGGCGAATCTTAAAAAATCGGTATGCAGGAAAGAATGTATAAATAGCTTTACACACTTTGTTACGAGCGTTTTGTATTCAAATAATGCTTCTGAATGTATATTTAAATTTAGCGCGAAAGCTATCAGCGACGACAGCAGTAGTTCTAAATAACAGTTTGACATTTGGACTACAGGTGGCGCATTGTTAATATTCAATTTAACCTAAAGATCAATTTTATATCACATGCATTGACTGATCAAAACATACGAACTTTGAGTAAAAGAAGTTTTTTTAAACAAACTTTAGGTTATAATCAATTTTCATTTACAGTTACGGTTCCAAAGTGGTAATCATTATCTGTTGATTTTACAAACACCCCCGGAAAAATCCCAATAGTCATAATCACAATAACAGATCGTTTTACCCTACACGCCATTATCCAGAAAAACCAAAAATGAGTGTTGAACTGGCTGAAAGGTGCGCTGTACCTAACTGTGACAATACCGCATCTACTGGCATTCCATTTCCAAAACAAACAGAAACTTTGGAAAAATGGTTACAATCTTTGAAAATACCAGATTTTACACCAACTCCGAGAAGTTTCGTGTGTTTGAATCATTTCGGCAGCGACGATATTTTGGAACGCATTGCAGGTAAAAGTAATGTAGCTTGTGTATGTTTGATTATTTTTGGCCAATAATTATTACGTGTAGATGCAGACATTGAACATGTACTGGAACATATACCTATTCCAACATTACCAGAGTCAAAAATTGATCTAACGAAGAACACCATTACTTCAACAAGTAAGTGTGGAACTTCTTAAAGTAATATCGATAGATGTTCAATACTTGTCAATTTTCAGAAAGCTATGACACACCAGAAGCGGTTTTTGTAGAAGCCTCAGGTAGCTTTCATATTCTATACTTGATTATAATCATTTAATGTATAAATTGTAGTTTGTAGGTTATGTATGAATGAAGGAGCTGAAGAACATGTTTTTGGGATATATGAAGATGTAGTCATTTCAAATTTAATTAACATCTGCATTCCTCCAATTAAGGTTGTCTTTCAAAATAACTTTATAAGTTATACAATAACGCGTATATTTCAGATTTTAAAAAGAGATGGTTTATCTAAATGGATTTGTAAAAATTGTGCTGAGACTTTATATAAGTTCTACCAGTTTCGAAATACCTGCATTGAAATAGATAAAAGACAAAAAAACATGTTAAAGATTAGTTTGAAACGTAAACATGAAGATGAACTTGCTGCAAATGATTTAAAGAAAAATTGTGTAGAGCTTCAGGAAGACATTGTTAACTTACAATCATTAACCACCCAACCAAGCATCAAAGTTGTGGATGCTGAATTAATGAAAGCTTTAGAAGAAAAAATTCCTGAGGAAATGAGATGTGCTGAGAATATTATAATTGAAGTACAAAGTGATGATGAAAGTGATCAAAGTCAAGAAATATTAAATGTATTGAGTGATGATAACGTGGTTATGGTTGGTGAGAAAGAAGTCAGGTTACCAAGGGGTATTAAAGTTAAATCGAGTCAAACTCAATTGAGGAGCGAACTAAGATATGTACAATTAGTCCAGGAAGTGGAGAACACTGAGTTTTGTTTAATTGATAATTATTTATTTGAATACCGACTATGTAAAGGAGATATCAGGTAGGTAATCTATAGTGTATCTACTACCATTATTTTTATAAGAATTAATTCTAAAACTTTACTATAACTGGTTGAAAAATATACATATCTGATCGGTTGTGTATTAAAACAGCGCAGGTCAAAAGAGCGCCTGTACAAATGAGCGCGTCAACAACAGCGTACTCATTTTAAGCAGGGTATAAAAAAATTCTAAATTAATATATTTCTAATAGTACTAATATATTTAATTACAAAAATAAATTTTAAGCAACAAATTTTAAATAATAATCTATAACTCTGCTAAAAGTGTATTCTTCCGTTAAGTTCTCAGTCTGTGACGTTGGAGCTTACATTTGGTTGCAGTAAGTTTATTGGCGCTTGTTACACAAAAATGAATAGATCATCTTTTCTGGAGTCCCAGTGCAAAAAAGATTCACTTCTATCAGTCGTATGACAAGTTTCGTCAATTTGAATTTGTGTTCCCACCAATGAGAAAAAAAAAAATATATTTTACAGCGTATTTTTACATTACAGAAAATATGTTAGAGACCCCCCATGTTACTTCTTCGAAAGAAAGATCGGGCCTGTCTTTTCGAAACTGTAAAAAACATCTTTTTATTGCAATTTTTTGTTGTAATGACAAATTACATATATATGCTGACAAAATTAAAACATTTGTTTGCTTGATTAAAAAATTGCGTCTAATAATTCTGATCTAATACTAAATGAAGTTTAGAAAAGTGGCAATCCAGCTCAAAGCAAATGTCAATCAGACTACTGACAGACAAAAAACTAAATCATCAAATCAGTTTATCCAATTTAAAGAAAAAATATCAAAGCCTACTTTACTATATAAAGATCGTGAATGGATAAGAAGTACTGCAATAGGGTCCATCCGACGAATGGCTACTTTCGTGTTTCTCGACGTCTCATGACTTTTAGAGTACGAAACAATTTGTCCTCGTTTCCTTCTGTATTGTGTAATTTTATATACGTGTAGATAAAAACGCTAACCAAAATTGATCTAATCATCCCCACCCACACTGTAATGACGTCACCCTAAAATTTTGCTTAGTAAATGCTATTTCAGTTTTTTAAAATAATACCCTCCTATACTTGTGGTTTATGAATGACTTGTTTTTGTTTATGGTTATTATAATTTTTATTGTTTAAACGTGTCCTTTATTAGTTACATAATACGTAGCTGCGTAAGCTTGACTCATAGGCCTGTGGAGGGGCCATGAAAAACTAGACACTAGGTTCCACACACATCTAAATTAAAAAAAAAAATTAGGGTTTAATTAATGTTTTATCTGACAAATCAAATAATTTTGACAAAATCACTATCCCGTTTTTCAAATCAGAAGCGTACATTCAAATTACTAAAAAAAAAAAACATAATTAAAACTTTGAAGTGGTCAAGTTTTCGTTCGCTGCGACTGTCCATTATACAGATAAGTGGATGGTTTCATATCTAATAACTATTAAATACATTTTTAGTGAAAAATAGGTACTGATGCAGTCAATTATGTTTATCGTTTAGAAATTTAATTTTTCTTTTATTTCATATACATATATCACTCACCTGAAAAAGATTATGAATCAGTAATGGGTGTTCTCAATTGAAAAAGTCATCAAGTTAGGCTTGTTTTTTGTAAATATTGTGAACATTTATCGTTGTTAATCGATGATAGCTGACAACGCGGAAATGTCAATTATATACGACTGCATCCGACAGTATAAACTAATAAATCCGTTTTTCTCTACGTTCTCAGAAAAGGAAGGCCAACTTGATGACTTTTTTTCAATTGAACACCCATTATAAAGAAAAATAAAAAAAGAGTGCGTCAACCCAGGGAGTTTTGACTCTGCGTTGTCAATTTATATAAATTAAACACGTATACGCGACGAAGTCGTTTTCTCTTAAAAAATAAAACCAAAAATATGTTGCATTTGTATTTTTTGACAAAATGATGATTAATGATGATTGGGTTAATTAAAGTAAATATCCATGTATTGCCAATTGTTGTTTATTATGAAATATACTTTTTTATTTATTTGTCATATAGAAATATCATAATTAATTATTGTAATAATGTTGTATAAAAAAATTAAAGTACAATGTGTGATTTACCAACTAAAGTAACAAATAAATATTTACAAATACTAAAGCAGTATTTATAACTTATTCGATTTAAAATACAAATTACTGTTCAATCACAGCGTTATCGCCTTCGGTATCTTTATCCCTATCATTTAATACAGTTATTAGTGGCCTATGGTGATTAAAATGAGTGATATAAATATCAGTTCTTAAATGAGTAATATAGCATGTGAAAACGGCATCAATTGTTGTACTTAATTTAAACAGTCAACGGAACACATTTAATTAAATAGTTTATTTCTCTCTCTCCTCTTCTATAGCGCGGTGTTACATGCGTATGCTCAGACTCAGTGTCCTCGACACCGACACCGACACCGAGTTCGAATACGAAAAGAAAGGAGTTAAAACTCCAATATTTTGTAAATAAATTGAGGGTTTTGAAGCACTTTCCTGTACGCTAAATCTTTCTATAAAATCTTTATTTTCGCGGTAGTGCCTGTGATTTAAGTAGTCTTACAGGGTGAGATTAAAAGTGTATAGACCACCTCGAATAATCGAATTACTGAGCAAATATTATTTATCATGCCTATCATAATCTTAAAACATCTGCTAAATTAAATTGCAAAATTTTGATTTTTTCGAAAAATCTGGACGTTTCGGGTAAAAATTCAACACGGAGTCATAAACTACATGTGTGGGACTATGTTATTTTATACGATTTAAAACCCATTTGCTAATGTACAAATTTGATGTGACGTCATCACATTATTGGTGGGGATGATTAGAAAAATTTTGGTTAGCCTTTTACCATCTACATGATATTCCTAACACATATAAATACAAAATTTGACAACAATCGGCCCAGTACTTTCGGAGATTATCTGTCTAATAAAAATTTCTTCGTACTCTAGGGGTCATGAAAGGTCGAGAAAATGTAAAAGTAGAGAGTCGGCCGACGGACTCGATTACTATACTTCCTTCGCTTACGCTCGGGAAGTAATATATGGTGGAGGATATTAATAGTAAATATCTAAGGAACTACGAAAACAAGTCTCTAAATATAAATCTGCTAGAAAAGAATTGAAAAGTACTATTTAAAAGTGCAAAAAACAGTTGTATTAATAGTTTTAAATAAAACGATAACACGAAGCAAAACTAAGATAAATGATTTATATTCAAATTTTATATTTTCTTGACGTTTCGCAGCTTGCAGGATACGAAAATATCGGTCACCCGCTTGTGTCTGTCTATCGGAGATTTTACTAATCAAATGATGACTTAATTTTAAGAAGTTTAATGATTTCATTATTCAGGGCCTCCAAAGATGGATTACATCATTTCAAATTTTTTTGAATAAATTTCTTTTGAAATGTACAGGTTCTTTGGTGTGTGGTTTAGTCACATTTATTTTTATTTTCAACTTTACGCATATAAATGATTGTAAAATGTATCTTTTAAAATACGTAACGAACTTCCTTGCAACTCATTTGGTGGCAAACTTTAATAAATGCTTATATTTTAATTTAAAAAATTGACCTAAGGTATTAGATAGAACTTCCCTCGCCTCTGAAGTATACCCCAACAAATTAGGCTCTTTCTAAAAATTATAAAAATGCAAAATGATGTTTCGTTGGAAAATTGTTGATGACGTCATCACAAAATTTTATACAGGAAAAACTCATTTGAAACTAGGGTTGCCAGATCTCATATATTTGGTATGAGTATTAGATATTTAAAGAAAATCTCATACCTCATACCAAGTATTAAATATATGAGATAATCTCATATATTTTCATTTTAACCGCCATTTCGAATTCTGTACTCTGCACTTTAGACGCAGAAACTTAAATTCGAATTCCAATAATTCAGAGTCTACTGTCTAACATGTATGCAAAGTTGTCGGCTGAATCATGACAAAAAAGTGGTGCAGAAACGTCAAATTAGAGACGCGATTAAATTAAATATTAATTCGAGCTTCTGTAAACTCGGCCTAAAACGTCTCATATATTTTTAACTGATCTCATATATATTTTTCCATGGAACTCATATATACCTTCTGAAAAAATCTGGCAACCCTATTTGAAACATACGCGCAGCACCCTTCTTTACATTAATATTACGTACATATTTTTATTTTAACTCATAGGGGTTCTCAAAAAAAAATAAAATTCGCAAAATTTTTCTAAAAAGCTGAATATGTTTTCGATCATAAAGTTTCCCGCAACGTTTATTCCTTACAACACCGGAAGCACAAAAAAATGTTTGTCAAAATTTTTGCCGACGCGTTTTTTTCGTCAGTTTAATTTTGTCTAGATATTGGCAAGATTCCTCATAAAGTTTTATTTTTCAAAAAAGTACTACGTGAATTCTTGTAAGTATCGTAGCGTTTTGTGTCTGTTGTATTAATTTTTAGCTTTATGATTTTATGATACTGATTTTTCTTTTACTCATATTAAAACTACCATTCTTTGAATTTTCAGGCACCTGAAATGTATAGTTACAAAATGTAAAGCTACTGCGCAGCAAACCATGACGAAAACTGGTGTTTATGACAGTAACGTCTGGTTAAAAGATGATCATAACCATCCAGCACCTTCTGTAGATGATCGGAAGAAGCAAATGTTTCTACATATGATGCGAAGAAAAATGCAGTATGATAAAAGCCTCAACTTCAGGAACGTTTACGAAGAGTTCTGTGAAAAGGATCCAGAAATTAAAAAATTGGTCCCTTTAAAAACAGTCATCAACCAGATTTGTTCCCAACAAATGAATTTAAAACTGCCGCCGATTGAATCATTCCAGCACTTTTTTGATATAATTGAAAATGATGAACTACAAAAGCTACATTTTACCCACACGAATGCACAATTCTACCAAGAAAAATTCGCCTCAAGTGATGGTTCTCAAGCTGTCGTTTTTGCCAATTGTGAGACCATCGAAAAGATATCGGACAGTAGGATAATGTATGTGGATGCTTCTTTTAAAATCGACACTCCTGAAGCTTTCAAGTATCACCTCGTTTCAGTTCTCGTATGGTTAACGGATAGTGTAAGTTTGAATTTCAGTTCGAAGTAGTGAAATTAAACGTTGGTTTTTAGTATTACCCTATAATGTTTGCTCTCATTAATGAAAAATCTCAAGAAATCTACAAGATGATTTTTTCTTATCTCCATGATACTTTGGCGCCAAACCTGCGACCTGTCGAAATTGTAACAGATTATGAAGCTTCTTTGTATTACTCCCTGGGTGAAGTATATCTAGATTCGCATATAGGAGGATCCGTTTTCTACTACACCCAAAACTTGTACAAAAAGATTTGTTCCCTAAATCTATCGCGGGAATTGGAAACCAATTCGTGCTTCCGAAATATCTATCACATGATTTTAATGTTACCATTGTTACCAGTCAATACAATCGTTGACGGCTTTAACAACATCCAACAACAAGCCGTTGAAATGGGACTTGGCGAATTAACAAAACCAATTTTCGATCATGTAAAATCTCAGTGGATTGACAGGGTAACTCCTGACTTGTTTTGTGTTCACAGACTGGAAAACCGAATCAACGAAAATGTTATAGCACCCTTCAAAAAATTACGTGATTTCATCATGTTATCAAAGGGCAAAATGCTGAAACAATATATCAACATTATATCTATAGTCGAGAAATTAATCGAATTGGAAAGCTTCTTGTCAGTGGTTTATTCAGCTCCGTCTAAAAAATCATTCGCTAGAGATTTAAGCAGTTCACAAAAGAAAAACGTTATCAGGGCATGGCAATTTATAGAAAGTCATCCTAAAATTAACATTAATAATTTCTTTACGAAAGTGCTGGGTTATATTAAATGTATGGAAAATCAGTTGTGGATTTGGGGTTTCTATCGGTATTCAGGAGAGGCCAATGATGAACTCATAAACGCGGCGAACTTTTCCATAGTGAACACTACAAGTGATGATAATGACGACCATAATTATGACCAGCACCATCAGTACGTAAATTACGCGTACCCAGAGGATGAAGTTGTTGTGGACGTAGTTATTGACCAAAAAAATGGATTTTTGATTAAAGACACTGAAATGCGAGAGCAGATGCAGTTGCAGACGCAGAATAGTTATATGGAATAGTACGTTACAAAAATAAATCTTCATATAATGAAATTTTTTAAATGTGCCGTGTTTCATTTGTTATACACGTTGCTAGCTTTATAAACATTAGGAAAAATATTTTTTAATTTTCTTGTAAATAAAGTGTACAACAGTATTATTATTATTAGTGATTTATTGGAAAGCACCTAAAAATATATTTTTTACAAAAGCCACACTTTAAGAGTTCAGTTATTGAAACAAAACTGCAAAATATGAACAATCGGCATATATGGTACATGAACTTTTGGTAAATTTTGTGAAGTCTCTTAAATCTCGTTATTTCTGAAACACAAATAATGCCGTATGCACTATCGTGTTGAGAAGAATATTTAAGTTTTAAGTATTTTTTTTGTGAAATGACAATTTTTAGTGATGTAAATTCTATAGATTTGGGTATATGTATGTACAAAGTAATGACAATAATACCGTCACTCTCTTACCAGAATTTTACATAACCAGGTTGACGTTCTTAAGAATACAATTAATTTAATACGTTTTTAGTTGTTACAGTTGGCTTACAGAAGACCTCTAGGAAAATCAATGTGTAAGCGGATTTGTTCTGTTTTTTAGAAATCTAATTTTCTTGAAATTTTACAACTTTGTATTTTTGTAATAGATCCTTAAAACTACTAAACGAATCATTGAAAAATCACTTCAATGGAGGTGCGGAATTAGTTGAGAAAGTTTGCAATGGAGTACTTAAAATTTTAAAATGTTAGATGTAAACTTGAATATGTTATAACCCTTGGAAATGTACATGTAAGTAAAAAACAATATAAAATAAACTTTCTACTATTTTATTATATTGCAAGACAAAAATACACATTGCGTCAATACTGTAAAAAGAATAGTTAAATAGAGTATATTTTTTATATCTAATTTACACAATACATAAAAATATATTTCAGTGTACATAACTGTTGGTAAAATGTGTCAAAGGCATCACTCGTCAGACAGAACTGAACAACTATCACAGTTAACTTTATTATTTCCTTCAGAACCTGACTTTAAATGCAAATTAAGTTGCAACTTCACTACATTATCAATGACTAGTCTTAAATCGGTTAAAATTTCATTGTATAAAGAAAAGTGTTCTGTATCTTCTGGTTGGTTTTCAGGTAACAACATCAGAAGTAACAAATTATCACTAACAGATTCTCTAAGTTTAAACAAAGAATAACAAAGTTTAATCTGTTCTCTTCTCGTTGTCCATATATATGCGAAAACTTTGGTTTTAATTATGCCAGCAAATAGGTAAGTTGCATATGGACCATATTCCTTTTCCGCGCAGTGGTTCAAGTGTATTAAAAGTTTACCGTTATTTTCCACCGTGTCACCTTTGAAACCCAAGCACGAAATGAGGATTGATTCTTCAAATGCTTCTGACATGGAAAAAACTAATTTGAATATAGCTGATAACTTCTCTGTAAATTTCTTGTCAACTTCTTCAGTTTCTACGTATTTTGCGAAGAGACAAAGTATGAAATTATTTAGGATCTTACGTGCATTTCGCCCTTCTGCACCACTCCAACAGTTGTTTTTAAATTTCTCTAGTATATTTGCAAATAGGTCGAATTTGTCATTGTTGTTCAAATTAATAAGAATATTGGCAACAAAATCGTTAGCTTCTCCTGATGTAAAAATATAAGCGCGAATAATATGAAAGGCAAATTCTGGGTTCAAATTTTCTATAGAACCCTTGTCCATTTTTGTAATTAAACTCTTCTTTATTCCCTCGTCTTCGTATTTAATGAGTATTTTCCAAATGGTTTCGACGTACTGACCCTTGTATTTGGACGGTACATTCACATGTATGGCCGACTTTAAGACTTGTAGGTTTTTCGTCTCAATGTTACGGATTTTAGTTTCGACTAATTGCCACACCATGTCAGAGGGATTTTTGACGAAGTATTTTAGAGTCGCCATCAACGCAAACACATCCGCTTCTTTTAAACAATTGTAAACAGTATCCACATCACATAGAAGAATAGTCAAAGTCATGCCGTGTTTTTTAACTGAAATTGCTTTATTTTGTTTCAGCTTCTCGATAAACGGTTTTGTTTCATTCTCAGGTAAATTATGGAAGCAACTATACAAAGGTCTTAAAGCGTATCGTAGATAGTGACCGTTACAAAGTTCCAAGACAACAGGCAGTACTTTTGCTGGAGAATGTATATGATGCATACATTTTATCAGTTGAGTCTGAATAGCGTATAAATTTCTGGTATTCTCATCAGTCAAGTCTGTTTCGGTGGAAACTGGTAGATAAGTTTTTATGTATTCTAAATATGAATCTGGGGTTAATAATATCAACAGAGCCTTAATCAGTTTAGCTTTATCTTTACAACCTTCAGCTGCAAGTTTTGATTTTAAAAATTCAACCGCTATTTTATCCATATCCAGATGAGAATATTTTTTCATACAACGCCAAATAGGTTCTGCTGTTAAATGCCCAACTGCATTAAACTGGTCCAGAAAGAATTTAAGATTGTCCTTTAATACGTTTGGTTCATTTTGCAAAAACCAAACTACTCCAGATAAGCGACCAAAATGCTTAAATGCCTTAAAATATAATTGTCTTAGTTCCATAAATTCCTTTGGTAAATTGGGACAACAAATCATATACTGTATTCCAGAATCGCAATTATTATTATCATAACAAGAAACTTCATTTTCTAACATGTATTTGACTGATTTTAAAATTCTTGGATGTCCATAAATGTTTACAATATTTTCAGGATAACGTTTGTTGTAAATTTTACACAAGTGTGCTAAGACGCAGTCATATCGAGCAGAATATTTCTCAGTAATATTTGGTTTTGGAAAACCTATTTTAACCAATTCCTTCAAGACCATGTTATATATTGTAGGGTTTTCATTCATAGGGCCACCATAATATATCAATTCTGCCCATCTTTTACACTTCAGAATGACATCCATCACACAATCTTTCTTTTCCTTCAACATAAATTTCAAGTGATGCATTCTTAATCTACATTCCTTATGAACCCAGTCATCTCTAGCGTTTGATATTGAAATGACCTCCAATAGCTTATCCCAATGTTGTTCAGTAAATGTATCCAAAATTTTGTTTCCACCAATTAAATAAAAAAATGAGTCACGAATTTTTGTGTCATCATTTTTAAACCTGCCACAAAGTAGCTGTAAAACCTTTAATAAATTACCAAGGTCTTTATTTAGAATACAACATTCTGTAATGATTTCAATATATTTTGCTCTTTCTGATACATCTATATGGTTTACTTTTTCCATAAATTCTTGCAAACAATTCTCTGGCGTAACATACTTCAGGTAATTTTGATTTTCTTCCTTTGCTAATTTTAGCTGAGCAATTCTCTCTCTTTCTGTTTGATCTGGGATAATTTTTAATATATCTTCTGGAATAGCATCAACATTTTCCCCAAATTTTTGATTGTAAGTCAAATTATGCATTGTTTTGTAAATACTGAATTGTCGATTTCTTGGATAATGTTTAAGTAAGTCAACCCACAATAGTTCATCTGTTTCTTCGTTTTTCTTGAAGAAAATATGTTGAAGTTCTGCACCGAATTTCCTTACAAATATACTTGTATTTAGAATTTTAAAATAAGTTTCAAGCTTGCCGAGTATATGATTTTCTTGTAACTCTATATATCTTTTGGTGGTTCGCCGACCAAGCATACCTTCAAACTTGTATTTATTTAATAAATCGGCGAACATTTCCGGATCCTTCTGTGCTATGTACGTCAAAAAAGAATTCTGGTGAAGAAACTTTGAACCTCCTTCATTCTTAGTCCTTTCTTCAATATAAACATAAATTAAGTTTGGATTCTTTTTGTGAATTGCCTGCAGTTGCTTATAAGTTAACTTGACTGCATTATTAATTAGTGTTTCATGAATTTTCTCTGTTGTACACTTTTGAAGAATAATCGTTGCAAGGAACGTTCCATACTTCTTTTGTACCGCAGTGAATACATCATCTGCAAGTTTCTCATCAAGTGGCAATTTTTTTAGAAGTTTTGCTTTCAGAGAATATGACAATGTTGGTAAAAATGTCTTGACAAAGTCCTCGGGGATAATTTTTTGGAACGCTTTTTGATAGAACCAACCATGCTTTGAAACTTTACTTATTGTATTGTCATCTCCATTTAAGTACTGCTTGTAAAGTTCATTGGTTCTTTGAAAATAAATTAAGACATCCACGTAGAATATTTTTTCCAGATGAGTTGTTGGCTCCAGATTTGCTACAATATCGTCTAGTTCTTGCGGGCTGTACGACTGGTGTCTTAATAGACTAAACAAATTTTTATGTTTTTGTTTCACAGTGGTTCCCGGTAAGTTATGAAATTCTGTTATAAATTTATGCACCATTGTTGGGTAGGAACCTAAAAAACGAAGAAACATTTTTATTTTAAAATAATACTATATAGTTCCAATATTTACCTACATAAAAATTGTTGCACAATTTTGGGTAAGTTGCTAGGTTGCTGGCACAAAACTGTTTACACGAAATCACAAATATAAAAATATTTATATTTAATAACGAAGCGTATATGTGTCTATAATACGTATATTATTTATAATCCACTGCCCAAAAATTGCCACCTTGACAATATTAACAAATCAACATTACAGCACATTACACCATTAACCGCCATTAGAACTACACCATCGTCGGCAAAATAAAGCATAAATGGATGACTATAAATTACCATTGGCCACGTTTAATTCGCTGAGAGAAGCACCGGTTTTTCGAACCTTGACCACGTGACAAGTTGTTTGTTGACGCAGAACCGTAACGATTATTTATGGTACCCCAGGGGGTTCAAAACACACAACTCAAAATCAGTATTAGAGTGAAGTTCGAGGACTAGCAATGGTGTTAAGTAAATCAGGCGTAAATCGGGATATACTTTTTAGTCGTCTCACGAAAGAAAGAAATTTTGTCTATAATTTACGTGTTGGTACAATATAGTATACCTAAGTACTCTTCGCATCGTATATCGGAATTTGAAAATACATTAATGAATAACGACTCGACATTTTGCCTTTGCTGTGATCGTCTAACAAAATGGAACCTATGTTGTGTGTGTTTTTTTTTTGCGGAATGCGTTCAGATGCAAGTGGTGGACTCCAAGGTTAGAAAAGTAGCGCTAAATAAAACACCAAATATATGGAGGACACAAAATTATTGATTTCTCCACTGACAAAAAGAAAGAAAAAAAAAGCTGCGACCAAGTTGTGCCGGTTGACGACACTGCTTGATGCTCAGCTACAAAAAAAACTTTGAATGAAATCAACTTAAACGTTCTGAATCAATGCAAATATTTGAATATCACAAATTTGATAAAAACAAAGAAAAATCTAAATTAAAGTAACTGGATGCAAATACACAAGTTATTACGAACGTGGACGGTACCAGAGCGCCATAAAGGTACGTGTCCACTGGAGAGCAATTCTCACGAGAGTTCTGATTGTAATTTTATACCATCCTTAATCTTAAGTTGTCATTTATAATTTCAGAGGTCTATTATTGCAATGAATTCAGTTATTACGAAAACAATAGGTACACGTAAAACAGACTTATCGGAGATCACTGTCACACCTCGAAATGCGTTCGTATTGTGGGAGTCGCTCAGAAACTCGGAAAAACCAGGAAAAAACGGTACGCTTACCCAGTTGAGGGCAGGGCCGACCATAGCTTTACGGGCTGATTTTGCAATTATTTCTCGCAAGCGCCCTCTCAAGTGGACACGTACCTTAAGAGTGTGGTGATGGAACTATCTCAATTTCATTCTAGAACACAGTAGAATTACCCATAGGGGGAGTTTGGAGCTCCCGGTCGTGGCTGTCCTTCCACTGCGACGGTGATTCTATTCTATCGATAAGCTCTGCCGCCCAGCACCCCAATATCGAACGAAGAAACGTGCCGCGCTATCCAGGCCGTTACGGTCGGAAACTCGTGATTGGAAGTCATGGCTACAAATAAGCTGACACGTCATCCCGACCGTCCCTGACTTCTATTCAAGACGTGCATCTTTTGTGTAGATGGCGCGGCCGCCAGCTCGACAAGGAACCGCGCACTCCGCTTCCGCTATGTGTTTCTGTGTTATTTAACTTCAATTTCATTTAAATATTCCATTTCTATAATTCTGACATTAACAACAATTGAACAAGTATTAAAGTTTCAAAAAGAGCAATAAACAACATTTAAATTCGCCATGCACTCTCGTGAAATTTTTAAACAGCAAATAATTCTTATCTGAGATTAGGATTGGACATCAGATAATTTATATGATGGAAACAAAATATTTACAAAACAAAAACTAGCAGATTTATAAAAACAAAAGATCTGGTGTGGAATAAAACTTGTGCAGACAAAAATTTACGAGGTTAGAAACTGTAGAGCATGAAAATTTACGTTCAGTTTAAATTATACAACAAAGAAAATTACTGAAGTTAAAATTGTGAGATAGCAAAAAATTGTATGAGATGAAAAATTTCAAAGCTTACAAAATTACATGAGTTTAATATTTTATGTCCATTCGAATTATTGCATAATTTTTAAAAGTGAAATTATTCAGCTGCATTGTGGGCCATTGTTACACATTCCCCCAAACAAACACAAAAAAAACATAGCAGGCAACCTGGGGGTTCAAAATGGCGTCGGACGAATGCACCGTTAAAAAAATGCGTTAAAAATATGTTTTCCAGAAATATGATCAATCCTGTGGCGCTGTGCAAATAATGGTCTAAATCAGGAATAAAATGCACGTCCCACATGACCCACAATGTTGTTAATTTGTTCAATAAGATTTTATAGTTCAAACATGTGCTCGTTTGGAAAATACTGTTTCAACATGGCCGCTGCCAGAACAAAGAATTTAAATTATGTTAAATGATGCCACACTTTAGCAACGATTCAAACAAAGGCTTGATTGATTTTTTTTTAAATTCAAATTATTCAAATGTGATTTCACGCCGCTGTTAATTTTTTTCAGTGCGAAATTTTAATCCAAATTCGGTCACCATAGCCTTATTTTATCAAAATTGTTTCAAATAAACTTTGCAAATTGAAAGAATAAATTTATTTTTTGGGGTAATTTTACACAGATAGGTACAATTACAAAAAATTGGTCGCAGGTTATTACATAACAGAACTTTCCTAGTCGTGAAGTGGTCAGAGTGCTCGTCATTTACTTCCTGACAATAATGACAACATATGTTTGAATTTTAATGATTTATTATTAATGAACAAACCTGTTGAACGTAAAGGCGTTGAAAGCACTTATTCGCGGCGATTTTTTATTCCAAAAAAAAAAAAAATGACAGGGTGGATCGAAGCTGACAAATGTATAAGTAAAGTCATATACCTTTATTATACTCAGCACCACAGTTTACCAGGGAAGATTCTTTACAACGTATGGGCCACGTGCCCGCTTTTGCACGCTTGCGGGCAACCAAGTGAATTGCGTCCACTCGACGCTTTACTGGAAATGCTCTCCACGAGGGTTTAACCATGCCTAATACATACAGGTGTCTCAGCAATAAGTACATTAATTTTAACCAGTAACAGAACTTGTGAAACGGATCGACTTTTTTATATAGCATTTTTTCGAATACATGTTCACCTCAAATAATAACAACACTACAACAATAAAGAAGGTATTCTAGCACCGTTTTGACACTGACAATCATTTTTATGTCAAGTGTATGTTATTAAACGTGGTCTCTTAGAAGTTTGTTTGCCACAGATTTCTAATTTATAGACGAAATGTGTTGGAATGTTTTTTTTTTTAAAACTTGAATACACCGATATCGTTTTAGCCTTGGGGGAACGACGCTTGCGCCCAAAGAATTTTTTCAGAAAACCTCCCAAATCGTCGTCTGCCAAATGAGCGCACTTTTAAGAACGTTGTACATCATCTTCAAGAGTACGAATCCTTTAAACTTGCAGCTCAAGATCGAGGTAGGTTACGGTTAAGATTTGCTAACATTGAAGAGGCTGTTTTGGAGAGTGTCGATGCAGTAGCATGCGTCACTAGACTGTGTGTACGGAATATCGGGGAGTAGTAATTGGAGGATACTCAGAGAACAACTGCACCCCTTTCAGGAGCAAAAAGTTCAGTTATTGAAACCAACACAAAAAAAATTGTGGAAAGCTTCTTGTCAGCTCCATCTAAAACACTATTCGCTAGAGATTTAATAAGCAGTTCAGAAAAGAAAAACGTTATCAGGGCATGACAATTTACAGAACGTCATCCTAAAATTAGCATTAATAATTTTTTACGAAAGTACTGGGTTATATTAAATGTATGGAAAATCAGTTGTGGATTTGGGGATTCTATCGGTATTCAGGGGAGGCCAATGATGAACTCATAAACGCGGCAAACTTTTCCATAGTGAACACAACAAGTGATGATAATGACGACCATAATAATTATCGTCGAAATTCCGGTGGGACGAACGGTTCGGAATCTCGCCGATAACGTGTGGTGGCGGGGTAACTAGGTGCCAAGCCTTGCGCCGACTAGTGCCGCTGATATAAGAAACACGTCTGGCCGACCTAGGCTTATGCTGCGACTTTCACGCCGCCGGGGGTGGCGCCTTCGGTCAGGAGCGGCGATCGCTCGGGCGCCCGCTACCTCTCCCGGGGAGGGAGCGTCGGGGTTGCTCTCAAGCCGGAGACACGTATCTCAGGTGGTGAGCGCCCGCGAAAACCAGAAAATAAAACAAAACGACAAGAAATATTTTACATAGGTAATAAATCGGGTTTATTCCCTGCCACCAGCTACACGGCTAAAGTAATAAATCTTACGGCTAAACTTAAAATAAATAAATACAAAACGGTTTTACAAAAAAAAAGAAGACGTCCGGCACGGTCGTTCCCTCCGGCAACTTCCTTCAGGACGGGCTCCTCCTGGACTTGGGGGCGGCGACCATGAAACTGGAAATCGCGCGAGAACGCTACGGTGACCCTGGAGGGGAGCGCGGTGGCGGTACACGACGGTTTAGATTTGTTCCTGTGACGACAAAAAAAAACGGTGACGACGATACGTAAACGGGCAAACGACCCAAAAGGTATTTACGGAGGTCGGAGGGTCAGATTGTACACTTTGCCACACTTTCCGATAACTTTTCAAAACAACCACAGCATAGGGCAACACACCTTTTTTTCCGAAGACTTCAAGCAAGGATCCTCTTCTTCGGCCCCGTTGGCGCGGTGCTTCCGAATTTTCCCCCGGCTCTCACAGTACGCATCCCGGTTTCCGGCCTGCGAAAATTCGCTTCGTTACAAAGCGTACTCCGAAGATGAAGTTGTTGTGGACGTAGTTATTGAGCAAAAAAATGGATTTTTGATCAAAGACACTGAAATGCGGGAGCAGATGCAGGTGCAGACCTTAGATCATATAATAATGTATTATCTAAGATGCAGACGCAGAATAGTCACATGGAACAGTACGTTATAAAAATAAATCTTCTCTAAAATGACTTTATTGCTAAAAAAGATATACATATTTAAAAATATAATGTCATGTGCATAACTGTATTAAAGGCATCACTCGTCACATAGAACTGAACAACAACAAGTATCGCAGTTAAATTTATTATTTTCTTCAGAAACTAACTTTAAATGCAAATTAAGTTGCAACTGCACTACATTATCAGTGACTAGTCGTATATCGGTTAAAATTTCATTATACAAAGAAAAGTGTTCTGTATCTTCTGGTTGGTCTTCAGGTAACAACATCAGAAGTAACAAATTATCACTAACAGATTCTCGCAGTTTGAACAAAGAATAACAAAATTTGATCTGTTCAATACTCGTTGTGCATATATGTGCGAATACTTTGTTTTTAATTATGTCAGCAACCAGATAAATTGCAAATGGACCATATTCCTTTTCCGCGCAGTGGTTCAAGTGCATTAAAAGTTTACCGTTATTTTCCACCGTGTCACCTTTGAAACCCAAGCACGAAATGAGGATTGATTCTTCAAATGCTTCTGACATGGAAAAAACTAATTTGAATATAGCTGATAACTCCTCTGTAAATTTCTTGTCAACTTCTTCAGTTTCTACGTATTTTTCGAAGAGACAAAATATGAAATTATTTAGGATCTTACGTGCAGTTCGCGCTTCTGCACCATTCCAACAATTGTTTTTAAATTTCTCTAGTATACTTGCAAATAGGCCGAATTTGTCATTGTTGTTCAAATTAATAAGGATATTGGCAACAAAATCATTAGCTTCTTCTGATGTAAAAATACTAGCGTGAATAACATGAAACGCAAATTCTGGGTTCAAATTTTGTATACATCCCTTGTCGATTTTTGTAATTAAACTCTTTTTTATTTCCTTGTCTTCATATTTACTGAGCATTTCCCAAATGGTTTCGACGTACTTACTTTTGTATTTTGACGGTACATCCATATCTATGGCCGACTTTAAAACTTGTAGATTTTTCTTCTCAATGTTACGGATTTTAGTTTCGACTAATTGCCACACCACGTCAGAGGGATTTTTGACGAAGTATTTAAAAGCCGCCATCAACGAAGCCATATTCGCTTCTTTCAAACAGTTGTAAACAGTATCCACATCACATAGAAGACTAATCAAATTTATGCTGTGTTTGTTAACTGAAACTGCTTTATTTTGTTTCAGCTTCTCGATAAAAGGTTTTGTTTCATTCTCAGGTAAATTATAGAAGCAACTATACAAAGGACTTAAAGCGTATCGTAGATAGTGGCCTTCACAAAGTTCCAAGACAACGGGCAATGCTTTTGCAGGAGAATGGATGTGATGCATAAATTTTATCAGTTGAGTCTGAATAGCGTATAAATTTCTTGTATTCTCATCAGTTAAGTTTATTTTGGTGGGAGGTGGTAGATAGGTTTTCATGTATTCCAAATATGAATCTGGAGTTAACAATATCAATAGAGCTTTAATCAGTTTAGCTTTATGTTGACAACCTTCACCTCCAAGTTTTGATTTTAAAAATTCAACCGCTGTTTTATCCATATCCAAATAGGCATATTTTTTCATGTAACGCCAAATCGGTTCAGCTGTTACATACCACGCTGCATTAAACTGGTCCAGGAAGTAGTTAAGATTGTCCTTCAATACGTTCGGTTCATTTTTCAAAAACCAGAGTACACCAGATAAGCGACCAAAGTGCTTAAATTTTTTAAAATATAATTGTTTTAGTTCCATATATTCCTTTGGCAAATTGGGACAACAAATCATGTATTCTACTCCAGAAACGCGGTCCTCATTATCATAACCTGAAAGTCCATTATCTAACAAGTATTTGACTGATTTTAAAATTCTTGGATGTCCATAAATGCTTACATTCATTTTAGGATAACGTTTATTGAAAGTTTTACACATGTGTGCCAAGAAGCAGTCATATCGAGCAGAATTATTGTCAATAGTGGTATTTGATTTTGGAAGACCTATTTCAACTAATTCTTTCAAAATAATCTTATACACTGTAGGGTTTTCATTTATATGGTTATCATAATGTATCAATTCTGGGTCTGTCCATTTTATACACTTCAGAATAGTATTTCTAACACAACCCTTCTTTTCCATTAACATGAATTTTAAGTGTTGCATTCTTAATCTACATTCGTCATAAACCCACTCACCCCTAGCGTTAGAAATTGAAATGATCTCCAATAGCATATCCCAATGTTGTTCAGTGAATGTATCCAAAATTTTGTTTCCATCAATTAAATAAAAAAATGAATCACGAATTTTTTTGTCGTCATTTTTAAACCTGTCACAAAGTAGCTCTAAAACCTTTAATAAATTATCAAGGTCTTTATTTAGAATACAACATTCTGTCACGATTGCAATATATTTTGCTCTTTCTGATATGGCCATGTGGTTTACTTTTTCCATAAATTCTTGCAAACAATTCTCTGGCGTAACATACTTCAGGTAATTTTGATTTTCTTCCTTTGCTAATTTTAGCTGAGCAATTCTCTCTCTTTCTGTTTGATCTGGGATAATTTTCAATATATCTTCTGGAATAGCATCAACATTTTCCCCAAATTTTTGATTGTAAGTCAAATTATGCATTGTTTTGTAAATACTGAATTGTCGATTTCTTGGATAATGTTTAAGTAAGTCAACCCACAATAGTTCATCTGTTTCTTCGTTTTTCTTGAAGAAAATATGTTGAAGTTCTGCACCGAATTTCCTTACAAACATACTTGTATTTAGAATTTTAAAATAAGTTTCAAGCTTGCCGAGTATATGATTTTCTTGTAACTTTGTATATCTTTTGGTAGTTCGCCGACCAAGCATACCTTCAAACTTGTATTTATTTAATAAATTGGCGAACATTTCCGGATCCTTCTGTGCTATGTACGTCAAAAAAGAATGCTGATGAAGAAACTTTGAACCTCCTTCATTCTTAGTCCTTTCTTCAATATAAACATAAATTAAGTTTGGATTCTTTTTGTGAATTGCCTGCAGTTGTTTATAAGTTAACTTGACTGCATTATTAATTAGTGTTTCATGAATTTTCTCTGTTGTACATTTTTGAAGAATAATCGCTGCAAGGAACGTTCCATACTTCTTTTGTACCGCAGTGAATACTTCATCTGCAATTTTCTCATCAAGTGGCAATTTTTTTAGAAGTTTTGCTTTCAGAGAATATGACAGTGTTGGTAAAAATGTCTTGACAAAGTCCTCGGGGATAATTTTTTGGAACGCTTTTTGATAGAACCAACCATGCTTTGAAACTTTACTTATTGTGATGTCATCTCCATTTAAGTACTGCTTGTAAAGTTCATTGGTTTTTTGAAAATAAATTAAGACATCCACGTAGAATATTTTTTCCAGGTGAGTTGTTGGCTCCAAATTTGCTACAATGTCGTCTAGTTCTTGCGAGCTGTACGACTGCTGCCTTAATAGACTGAACAAATTTTTCTGTTTTTCTTTCACAGTGGTTCCCGGTAAGTTATGAAATTCTGTTATAAATTTATGCACCACGTCGTCCATTGTTACCTAAAAATGAAGAAATGTTTTTATTTTAAAATGACACTATCTTCTTCTAATACTTACCTACATATAAATTGTTGCACAATTTTGGGTGAGGAGATAGATCACTATCGCAAAACTGTTTACACGAAATCAAATATAAAAATATTTATATTTAATAACAAAGCATGTATATCTGTATTATTTATAATCCACTGGCCAAGAATTGCCACCATGATAGTATTAACAAATCAACATTACAGCACATTACACCATACTTATAGAGTTGTTGGTTGCGCTGACATGCCGCACAGCATGACCAGACTAGACTAATAATAATTATTATATTGGCCACGTTTGACTCGATGCGAGATGCACACAGGTTCCGAACCTTCCGACCACGTGACAACTCGTTTGTTGACGCAGAACCGTAACGATTATTTATAGGACCCCAGGATTTCAAAACACAAACTCAAAATTAATATCAAACTGAGATTCGAGGGCTAGCAACGTTCATAAAGAAACCAGGCATAAATCTTCATATATTTTTTGCTCGTCTCACGAAGGAACGAAATTTCGTTTACAATTTAGGCGTGTAAATTGAAAGAATACAATTATTTGTTGTAACAATTTATACAGGTTAGGTCAGGTCAGGTCAGGTCAAGTCGCAGCTTATTTCGATGGAACTTCCCTTGTCTTGAAGTATAAATAAATAAATAAATAAAATACATAAATAAAAAACACCCGTTATTGTCCAACAGGTAATACCCAGTTCAAGGACAAAAATAAGAAAATACATAATAAATAATAATTGTGTCGTTGCAGACATTAGTTTTTGCAGTTCAAAAAATTGGTAGAAGATTACTTCGACAGAACTTCCCTCACTCATATCAAACCCCCAGCTCTTACAATTTAATCATGTCGGCCATGTGTAAAAATAGCAGAGGTGCGACTGAAGACTGAACTGAAACTCATTTATTGTATTCGTAATTTAAGACAAATGGCGATAACGCTTGAAGCGAATGCATACGTGAGAGTGAAACAGAGAAACTAAACTAAAAGATATTTTCTATGAATTGCATCTCCTGGCTTCCCCATAGTTACGGCCTTGTCTAGGGGTCATGAAATATCGAGAAAATATGAAAGTACCAAATTGTTCATGGACTCCATTATTATACGTCCTCATCTTACGTAAAACAACTTGAAAGTGTTTATGTTTATACATCGGAAGAATGTCACCTAGAAACTAGTTTGATTTGTATAAGTTCGTCGTGTCAAAACAAAGGACTTATTATTAAGTAAGCTACGATCGAATAAAATGTTCTGAATATTATTTATTACTATAATTCTTATTTAATCTTTATTTTACATAAAGACGTTCGTATATTCATATTTTCGACAAAATGGGTTGACTCTTTCTTAGTTTGATCAATAAAAAATTATATAGTGATATAATATACCGGGTGTCTGGAAAATGACGGATTAACTCTCCGCTACGCTCTTAACAATAAACTGGTGAGTCTGGGAAAAATAGTAAAAAAATTCCTTCTCACATTTTGGTGGAGTTACAATGATTTTAAAATTGGTTTTTTTGCTACGGTTAACAACTAAATAACACATTCATTATCACAATAGCTAGTTATAAAACTTATAGTTAATAGTTTTCTTGCCCATGACCATGTTTAATTACCATTTCAGTTAGAATGCACAAAGATATGGCTGTGTTGTTTTTGTAATAATTTGATAAAATCCCATTTGACAACAATGTTTGCCTGATATAAAGCGAGGATGGATTTCAGTCACCATCGTTACTAAGAAACCAGAAAGTAAGCCGGAGATATTCACGCAATAGGTGTGTGCAGTGTTGCCAATTTTACTTTTATAAAATTACTTTTTTTTCATAATCTACATCATAAAGAATTTTTTTATTATTTTTTCGGGACTCCCGAAACACCCGTATATAACGTACTGAAGAGTTAATCCGCCATTTTCCAGACACGCGGTATAATTAGGTATATCTACATGATATACCTAATATAAATACAAAATTTGACAACAATCGGCCCAGTACTTTCGAAGATTATCTGTCTAATAAAAATCCGGGACGGCAGACAGACGGAAACGGGAGACCTATTTCTTCGTCCTCTAGGGGTCATGATAGGTTGAGAAAATGCAAAAGTAGAGAGTCGGCCGACGGATTCGATTACAATACTTCCTTTGCTTACGCTCGGGAAGTAAAAAAAACTGCAGGTAATACTATGCCAACAATAAATTTCGGGCATAACTAATGACTGCTTTAGAACTAATAACCGTGAAATGATACTAGTGCCCGAAATTTATTGATTGGCACTGTACAAGCTCTTGTATAAAAGAGTGGTTTATTTTCTTTTGCAGATGGCATTGGTAACATGAATTTTAACAGAAAGTATAATCTCATTGTATTACAAAATAAAGTTGTAGGTATATAATTTTTAACAATGACAATGATTAACATTTGTGTAGTAATTAAAATGTTTCTCATTTTGTACAAATACAGTAAAGCATATAACTCTTGCATTAAATGTTTTATATCACTTAAAATTAAATTAATATAACACAAATATTATAGAACTTAACATACTGCTCGTCACATCCACAACAAACGACGATTATTTTAAATTAACTTTTCTTGCATTGAGTCTTATTCAACACTTAAAATTAAAATGATATAACCCAAATAGTATAGAATTTATCATACTCCTCGTCCCACATACACCAAACGGTGAGTTAAGATATATCTGAACGAGGTATGTCCCAATCAAGTTTTACATTTTTATATGGACCAGCTTTTAAATATAGATTAAATTGTAATTGCACAACTTTATCAGTCACTTGATTAAGTTCACTTACAACGGTATCATACAATTCAAAGTACTTTTGCTTTTCAGGTACATCGTGGGGCAACAATTTAATAACTAACAAATAATCGCTAATGGATTCTTTTAATTGTAGCAACGAATGACAGAGCTCATATTGTTCGGCGATAGTAGTAAAAATATGTTTACGAACATTATTATTGAGAACAATGGCAAACAAATTTACAGCAAAAGTTCCATATTCCTTGGTATAAATATTATTTAATTTTATTAAAAGTTTACTTTGATTTTCTAAATTTTCATCCTTCAAAGTCATACACTCAACAGCAATTAATTCCACGAAAGCGTCAGACAAGGTGAAAACTGAACCAAGTACAATTTTCAATTCTGTAACAAATTTTGCATTGGATTTTTCAGCACCCATGTATTTATCAAACAAATTTAGCATAAATTTGTTGAACTGTTGTCGTGATGGCTTACACATTTTTGGGTGATTCCAACAATTTTTCTTGAAATTAGACAAAATATCCGATAAAACTGTGAACTTTTTGTCAGATTTTAGGTAGAGGAGAATAGTTGCAACAACGTCATTGGCTTCGTTTCCTTTAAAAATACTCTTTCGAATTATATTGAAAGCCAATTCAGGGTCCAGCTTTTCAACAGACGCCTCGTTTATTTTTTGGAATAGAAGCTTTTTCAGTTCGTTGTTTTCATATTTATCCAAGACGTTCCATACTATCTCGATATATTTGGATTTGTATTCAAACGGTACGTTTATTTTATCAAGTGCTAGTTTTAACATTGGCAATTCGTTTTTCTCTAAGGCACCAATTTGAGTTTCTATCACTTTCCATAAGGCCTCTGAAGGATGTTTTGAAAAATATTTTATTGTGGGTGTTAACGATGGCACTGTTGCGTTTTTCAAACAGTTGTATACGTCATCTACATCATATATCACACAACTCAAGTTCATGGCATGTTTCCTCACCGAGAGAGCTTTAACTTCGTCCAGTTTGTTGATAAACTGTTTTGTCTCATTTTCGGGTAGTTTGTAGATACAACTATATAAAGGAGATAAAGCAAATTGCAAATAATCGCCTTTGCAAAAATCGAAAGTGGCATTTACGACTTCTGTTGGTGAATTTAAATAGTGAAGTACTCTCACAACCTTACCTTGAAGATTATACAAGTCTGTTATATCGTCATCTGTTAAATCAACTTTGTCAACTGTTGGTACATATGATTTGATAAATTCCAAATGTGAGGTTGGGGACGATAAAATTGTCAATGGCCTAATCAAATTCTTTTTCTCTTCAAATTTTTCTTCCGCTAATTTCTGTCTGCAAAATTCAACCGTTCTTCGATCTAAATCTAAATGAGTGCATTTTTTTACGAGCCTCCATAACCTTGATGGATTTAGACCTCGGGTTTTAAAGAATATGTTTAAATAATGATCAAAATTTTCTTGTAATGTTTTTGGTTCATGCTTCAAAAACCAAATCAATCCTCTTATCCGACCAAATGATTCAAAAGATTTAAAGTACAGTTTCTTCAGTTGTTGTATTTCTTCGCTTGAGTTCTGCTGACAAACAATATATTGTATGCCTTCGACTTGGTATGTTTCCAAATATTTATCACTTCCATCTTCTAAAATTTTTTTGGCTGATTTAATGATTCGTGAGTTATCATAAATAGAAATCGTATCATTAGGGTATTTCTTATTGTAGATTTTGCAATAACAAGCAAGATAACAATCAAATGCAGCCGCTTCAAATGGTTCATCAGAACTTGGTTTTACAACTTCAGTTTGAAGTAATTCACTTAATAAAAGTTTAACCGACTTAAAATCATTCATAATTCCAGAAAACATAAAAATACCGTCCCATTTAGATTTATATTTTTGTATTAGCTCTTTTAAAGATTTATCATTCTTCACTAAATACTTTATAGCGTTTAGCATAATATCATTTTCGCCGTGGATCCATCTGTTTTTAGCTTTCTCAGTTACCATAATCTCTATAATATATTTCCAATGTTTTTCATCCAACATTTCCAAAATACATTTATAAGAGCTGAGTTTGTTTAAAAAATCTCTTCTAATTGATGCATCATCATTCTTACATCTTACACAGACTAATTCACAAAGTTTTTCTAGCAAAGTCATATCTTTATTCAGACAACAACAATCTGTCGCTAATTCAATATACTTTGCTCTCTCTGACGTTGTTAAATGATTTATTTTATTCATTAATTCTTTTAGGCAATAATTTGACGTAACATACTTTAAGTAATTCTTTTCGCACTCTAGTTCCATTTTCAATAAGGCTAATTTTTCTCTTTCTTGTGCATTTGGCATCATTTTTAACATATCTTCAGAAACTGCGTTAATATCTTCGGCAAATTTGTGGCAATGCAAGGAGTTGTACGTTGTCTCAAATATATCAAATTGCTGGTGTTTAGGATAATGCCTAATTAGCGAATTCCAATATAGTTGGTTTGAACTTGGATAATTCTCAAAAAGTATATCTTTTA